ATCAGCTAATGTGACAGATCTTTTAAATTATGGAAGAGAGAAAATTGCTTGAATAAAGGGTTTGATTTAAACATTTTGCAGCAATTGTAAAAGATGATAATCAGTTTGTGACGGCATGTGACAATGTTCTCTGATCATCAGTCAGTCACTGCACCTGTGATGACATCCAAGGTTGAATGTATTTGCACAGACACCCAACTCGCTATGTGCACAAGTTTATTTTCTCAGCTGTGATCGCTTTCAAAAAAAAAAAAAAAAAAAAAAAAGATGAAGGCAACTGTTTTTCAAGACTGGTTGGGAAGTAGCAACAATTCTCACTTAAATGCGGGACCCTTCCTTCAGCTTCAAGAGGTGGGCTGTTATCTTTCTCAATTCACTGGCCTCTGGGTTCGATGACTCCAGATTCCTCGACCCCGGTCCTTCTGTCACTGGTCGCTGGGCAGCTCTCACTCCTCTGGTCACCTGCCTACTTCTCTACAGCCGGACCCACATTTCCCCAACTTCATGCCTCTCTCTGTTTATATGGATAATTCTGAGGTCCCATCCCCTCCATCTGCTTGTCTTTCTGGAAGATTTAGGACCACCCCAAAGCCACATGGGTGGTCAAATCTTCAAAGAGTACTTTTATGACTATCTAAAATCATTTATAAAATTTTTATGTTTTCCATTTCAAACAAAGATGGACTGGAGATAAAATTCCTATGAAACTCAGATAAGTAAACTAAAAAGAAATTATCTCCTTATCGTCTGAAAATGTGAGAGAAATCATATTGTTATATGTTAATGCAAGTTCAGGTGGAGTTGAATGGAACAACCAACTTCCAAAATTTTTTCCTCCCAGTTATTCTTGCTGTATGCAGCCTTGTGTTGTCAGAGGAAAACAATATTTTTTATTTAATCCACTGTGTATGCTGCCATTGCCATGCAACTACCAAAGTATGTTAATATATGATTGGTAGTTGGGATGATATATTTGTTATTAGAATTGGTTCTCAAAAACTAATTACATACGACTCAACCTAATGGAATGTCAATGTTGGTAGACAAATGTTGGCGTATTATGTCCCGACGCAAAATCGCCAGCCTATCTCTTTATTCCTTTTCCCCCCCTCTGGTCCATGAAGGCCCCAGCCTACTCCTGAAGAGTCATGAGCAGGAGTCACAGAAGAGTGTGGGTGGCGGATGCGGCTGGGTGAGTCAGGGCTGTCTGACAAGCACGTGGCAGATCCTCATCATGTTGACAGTTTGACTCAAAAGTCTTGGTTGCCACTTCGATGGTCCTATGCTAGGAGGGTTGATTTGCAGCAACAGTTTGCCACATTTCAGGGTTTGCCTGTGTCAGGGATGTTTTCAACTGATCCTTGAGGTGTTATTTTTGGCCACTGCATAGCCTCTTGCTGCTGGCGAGCTTTCCAAACAAGATGATATATAGTATGCAGTAAATCAAGGCAAAACAGAGAAAAATGGAGGTTTATTTTTAATGTCTCATCTCTTAAAGAGAACAAGTGAATAGAAATTCCTGTTTAGTGAAAGATTATTTTAAACTTACTCTCTCTTAAATGCCATATAATGTTGTGTGTTTCACATGTGGGGGAGGATTTAAGAAGGGTGCATAACTGACACGAAATCTGCGTTAATACGGATACACTAACAAGATGCAGATTTTCCTTATTTTCTTTCCTCAAATAACATCTTTTAACCAGCTGTTTATATAATTCATGATATCACAGGTGGGATCGATTAATACAAATTGAAGTATTTGTTTAATATATCCTACTTATGACAATGACGTGATGAAATGGGAAAAATTATTTTCAAAGATATTTTGAAAAAAATTAAAAAAAAAAAAAAAAGCCTTGATTGTGGGAGGAATAAAGGGGTGGAGGAGATCATTAGAAAAAAAAAACTGGTAGGAGGAAAAGATTTTATCTGAAGAGAAAAAGAGAGATAAGACAGAAGGGCAGAGAGAGAGGGATGGGGGAAGAGAGGGGAGGTGTGGGGAAGAGAGGGAGGTAGGGGAGAGAGAGGGGAGGTGAGGGGGAGAGAGAGAGAGAGGTAGGGGAGAGAGAGAGAGGGGGAAGAGAGAGAGAGGGAAGAGAGAGAGAGGAAGAGAGAGAGGGAAGAGAGAGAGGGGGGAGAGAGGAGGAGGGAAGGGAGGGGAAGAGGGAGAGGGGGGAGGGAAGAGAGGGAGGGAAGAGAGAGGGAAGAGAGAGAGAGGGAGGGAAGAGAGAGAGAGGGGGGGGAGAAAAAAGAAAGAGGAAAGGTTAGAAAAAATTGAAGAAACAAAAACAACTTACCAATGTTGTTACTGTCATCTTCAGAATCCTCATCTTCAGCACTGTCTTCCTCCTCCTCATCTCCAGCACTGTCTTCCTCCTCCTCCTCATCTCCAGCACTGTCCTCCTCCTCCTCCTCAGCATAACTGTCCTCTTCCTCCTCCTCATCTTTTTCTTTATCATTGAATGAAGAGCCACCATCTTTACTGTCATCTGAATCCAAATCACATTCATCAACTCCTGATTTTAAAGTTGGGCCTGATTCTTTTTCAGCCAAAGTTTTTGCAGAAGGCGAGCAAGAGTCACTGTGAGAAGGGGACGAGAGCGATTTTTCCAGATTACTAAGACGGGAACGGGACATTTTGGCCGGTGGTGTCTTTATACACTGGATCAAGGGCTCCGATGGATTAACGCAAAAACTCAACTCTTCTGTGACTACCAAAGAGTTATCAGCCGTCTTACTGCTGCCATCATTGACTTCGTCATCGTCATCATCATCGGATGAAGACAAGACAAATCTTTTCGCTTTCCCAGCTTCCCGCCTTTGCAATCTTTCACTGAGACTTTCTGAATATGAAATAGATGCAGATACTGCCTGGTCATCTTCCTCAGAAGAAGAATCGGACATGATGAGCTGAGGTCGTCTTCGACCCTTGCAGGATGTAGAACTGCTGCTAGTGCTCTTTCTCGAGGAACCGCCATTCTCAGAATCTTTATCAGTTTCTGGAGAAAGGTTTGCCTTCTTACCAGAACTTGTCGTACAGACTGAGGATCTAGAAAGTGAATGAGGCTCGTTGACCTCGGCCTCACTATCAGATGAGCTCAAAACCCTGCGTTTGCGGGCATTCTGTTTTACAGAGCGTATAATGACGCTGTCATCCAATGAGAGATTCGTGTGCAACTGTTCTGTCAACGACTGCATTCCTCGAGCTGCATGAATGCTATCAGTTTCGTGAGAGTTGGGAAACTGGCTGGCAGCTGCAGGGGAGACTGTCTGGTCTTTGATCAGCAGGGAGCCTGAGCTTGTGGAACTGTTAGGGACCACGACAGAGACGTCACGGAAGACCGGGGAATAAAATTCTCGGCTATCGTCCTCGACCACCTCGGAGACATTTCCCTTTCTACTGCCTTTGTCTTCCGCTTCGTCCTGTGATTCCACCACGACAGCATCTTCCTTGAGACTCTCGTCCGATTCGTAATCGGATTCTGCCACTGTCAATTTTGCACTATTGCTGGGCGAAAGGCTGTCACTGGAACACTGACTGCCGCTGGAAATAGATTTCATAAAAGTGTCTGGCGAGTCGGCGACAAGCACATTTTTTAATCCAGCTTTTCTAGGCGACAGGGGGGAATCAGCAATTGCTCGCATAAGAGTTATATTGGCAAGAGATTGTTGGCGGGATCTTGGAGGCTCGGCAGTATTCTGAAATTAAAAAAGAAAGTATTTTTTTATCCTTTCCACCACTTTTGTCCATCCCACCTGTTTTTTTTTGGTTTTTTTTTCCACTTGCTGCAATTTCTCTTCTGAAAGAGATACATCTATTTTATAAAAATCGTACAACTCATACAGCAATTGCTATCACTTGTCTTAAAATATTTTTGCCCTTCCTTGCCTTTTAAGGCTACATGCCTATCTCACATCTCACAAATTTTTTCTAAGCTCTATACTAAACATTAAATCTGTTACGAAAAAAAGAACTAAACAAAATGAACACAAAACGATCAGCTTTAAAAAGGACTCAGAACTGGAAAAACCGAATGAAAAAAAGAATGTTAACAACAAATAGTTTTTCACACCTAACCCAGTTCTGCGGAATCAGAATCAACGTTGAGTTTAAGCAAGCGAATGAGCCAATTGGAGTAAAGTGCCATGCAGATTTAAATTTTTCCCACTTGTGACAAACGCAGCTTCAATTTTTTTTTTTGCATGCTAGTTAACATTTGTGTCAGTCAGCTGTTGGCTCTTATGCTGGCCAATAGAATCTTCCTGCCTATTCGTGGCAGCCAGCTATAGGCTCTCTCTGTGGCCAGTAGAAAATGTCCGCAAACTACATGAAAACTGCCGTAGAAGCATGAAAAAACTCGATTATTTCCACTATTGATGGGAGTTGGGAAATGGAAAGTCAGTCTTGGCCTTTCCCGCTAACTTGGAGCATGTGCATGTAAATTTTGGTGCAAATCCGTCAAAAATTGCGGCCGTGCATTCGTTACACACACACACACACACATCCTGCTTTTACAGATAGAGATAATAATTGTTAATTGTTCAGTTATACAAGTCTTACTAATTAACCTATAACTGGGGGGGGAGAAGAGGGGGATTAACACCTTTCCCAGGGGTATTTTTGCACATACGAGTCAAGTTCCATTTTTTCCAGGTTTTTTTATTATTATTATTTTTTTTTTTTTTTTTTTTTTTTTTTACAGGCTTAAAACTGAAATCCATTTATGGATTAAGATTTGAAAGTTATCTATGGATTATTTAATGCTGAAATCTAAATATTTTATATGCAATTTTTATTTTATTTTTGGAGATAATAATGATTTTACTGATACAAGTTTTACTAATTAGCCCACAGCTGGAGAGAGAAAAGGTGGATTCATCATACCCTTCCCAAGGGTATTTGCATGTAAGTGAATATAACAAACCCAACCGGAATTGGAACTTCGCTCTCTGATTAATAATTCAGAGTCGTTATCCATTTCACCAATCTCATATCCAAGCTTACAGCACCTGGTATTCCCAAAATGGTCACGCATTTATGTACTGACCAGGCTCAACGTTGCTTAACTTCAGTGATCGTACAGGAACTGGTGTTTCAACATGATGTGCTCTGCTATTGTGTGGAATGTCAACTTGGATCTCTGATTAACAATACCAGGCTATTATCGATTTTCCTGCCCATCCAAGCTTATAGTACATGGTATTCTCAAGCAGTCAGTCACCCATCAAGGTACTGACCAGCCGTTGCTTAACTTTAATGATAGAAATGGGATGTGGCTGGAAGCCCATAAAATTAAGAAATAATGGATGTAAGAAAAACTCACGCTGATGCTAGACGGGTCAATGTTTTGAGTTGTGGTCTTGGTAGCTTCAGAGTCGCCAACTGCCTTCCCATCATTGTGTTTGCCCAAAGCTGAGAAGGTGCCATGTCCCACATGAGGTGGATGTTCATCTTCACTATCCAAAATTACTTCACTGTTGTCGTCGTTGACATCTGACTGGACATCACTGAGGATGATTACGTCGTCGTCATTATTATTCGGACAGGAAGACGACATCTCTTGGTCACTCACTACAACAACTAAATAAACAAGAGTGCAAAATTATTAGTCATGTAAAATCTTCACACCACTATTCCATCGCCATCAGGCAAGAGATTTTTTTTTTTAAAGTTAAATGTTCACATGATACAAGGCCCAAGAGCCACTCAAGGTAGGGGTGTTACTAAATGAGGTTGCATGGATGTAGGAAAGGGAAGTAAGTGCCAATTATAAGGATATATACAATAGGTAATGGTTGACCCTTGAAGAGATCAAGGAAGCATCTGTTCTATAAAGCAGCAGCTCTTCTTGGGAAGAAGCTGTCCAAATGGAACTTCCTCCTTACCAATGGAATACGAATGGAATGGGAATGATTTGTCCCAGTGTACATGACATGTTCGGTCTTAGCTGTAAACATCTCATCTGGCGGAACTAGGGAATGAATGTAGCTCATCAGAATATTTTCTATGGAAATAGCAATTGAGAAGCAAGAAGCTTGCGACACTGCATCTGTGAGAGAAGAAGGGTTGTCAGGTTGAAAATAGTTTATGCTGCCTTGCAGGCAATTAATTATTTGGGTGTCTCTTCTTTTAAAATCCAATGCCATACCAGAAATGTCACACAAAATATGCAGAGAGACAAATTCCTGTTGGATTGCTGTGGACAAGTGTTTATGCTTAACATCACCATTGATGCCTGCATTTTTTGTCTTTTTGCAAAAGTTAAATGCAAATAATAAAAAAAAAAAAAAAAAAAAAAAGAAAGAAGTTTTTGACCACGATCAGCCAAAGTCCTGAAACCATTTTTCCCTGACAAGATTCTCCTAGAGCTATCTCTGCTGCACTTGCCTTATGGAATTGTGCTGAAGAGCCGTAAATTTGATCACCTGTTCATCTTAGACCACTTGCACAAACATTTCCATATATGATTTATAATATATATCATAATAAACTCCATTTACACTTGTCAAGTGCCTCTCCAGTTCCTTCATTTTAAAAGTTGGCAACACCTCTGCAGACCAGATCTAACTGGTCCAGTCTGCATATGACTGGACTGGACCAGTTAGACAAGGTAACAACCAAGAAATTCATCCTTTTGTCCATCTCTTTTTCTACAGACCTTTAAACACAGTGTGGGTGCAGAAAGCATTGAAGGAGTGATACCATGGAACTGGATGGAGGTGATAAAAGGAAGGGGGAGGGAAAACCCCTCACAAACAATATATGGGCACATCATAAAGACAGAATACCATCCAAAGGAATCAAAGGTACGATAACTTATCTTAGAAAGTCTTGCTGAAAGAAGGCTAGAGTCTACAGCAGATAAACTGATTTGATAAAAACAACAAAAGTTAGGCCCAATGAATCCCTGTATAATAGCATCCCCTTCACCTCCATTTCATTAAAGCCATTAGACTCCCCTGTGCAAAACAGAGCCACAACTTCCCCACACTAAGTGGTTTCTAGAGAAAGCAGGGTTTTTTTTTTTTTAATACACAGAGGGAGTTATGAGCCTTATACCCAACCAATTGTGAATTTAGAATTATCCTCATCTTAGACGGATTTTTTTTCCTTTTTATTATCAATTCACTCCAAGCAAGGTGATAATGCCACTAAAATGCAAGGGGCTACTGGGAGTGAAAGAGAATGAAAAAGGCTTTAGAAGGAACCAGAAACCCAATCCTAAACAGGAAACACCAGATAAACCTCTTCTGTTCAAAAGGCTGGGGAGAAGTGTGATTGCCAATAAAAGCTATAGAGCTCAGTCTACCTTGCTAATTAACCCATAGCTGGAGGGAGAAAAGATGGATTCATGCCTTTCTTTTGCAAGCTCAAAAGTGAATGCAACGAGCTGGCTGGAATTTGAACCAAGCAGGCCAATTCCACGCCAATAACCGCTACGCTACAAGCACGCATCTCATAATCACATCACCACCTCAGAAGTTCAGAGGGTAAAGCAGATGAAACATCATGATAAATTTAGTAAAGATAAGGAAACTAGCCCCAAAGAATTGGTGCATAATGTTCTTGGGATTTCTTGCAGACTTTACACAGAAGCAGGCATACTCACCTTCCTCAGATGTCGGAAAGACGGAATTGGGACCGGCGTTACTCCTCCTGTGACGCACTTCTCTCTGCTCGGATCTTTCATCTCTGTTTTCTTCCTCATCATACAGATTTAACAGGGGACTGCTTAATCTTGTGGGCTGGCTGGTCCATGTTTCTACAGACGGTGGTCGGCGTTCTTGGATACCAGGCACCATTTTCTTAGCGTTTGCTCGGCTTTCCTCATTGATTTCATCACGAATTGCTTTTTCTGCTTTTTCCACCTGGTTGGAAACAGAGAATCATTCAAGCAACAAATACATAGCTACATCTTTTGCTTGTCACAATAGGGAGCAGGGGTTTAAACCTGGGCGGGGAAAATAATGATTTTTTTAAGGTAATCCAGCCTTTCTCAGGATTATGTGAACATTGTTCAAAAACATTTATTCAAATTCTAAATTGTCTGAATGAAAATTAATCAAAAGGACAATTATACTAAACGATAATTATTTGAAATAACCTATGTTTAAAATACGTATCAGCAAAATCACTTAATATCAGAAATTCATACAAGCAAGGACTTGGGATAAAGAAAAGAAAACTGGTTTGTTTGAATATTTTTTTAAAAAATTGCTACACCCCCAAACGAATGCCACAAAGATGCAAGGCCGGGGGGGGGGGTTACAGGGAGAGAACGTGAAAGAGAATGAGAAGATTGAAAAAAAAAAAAAAAAGAAAAAAAAGAAAAGAAAAGACACAGGGTTCAAGAAGATAGAAGATGGCGATTGACACTGCATTTAATTTTTTGAAGATTGTAGCTAACCGGGAACCTAAGAGATTAGGTGAACATTGTAAATAATTGTTCAAAAACAATTATTCGAAAACATTTATTTGAATGAAAATTAATCAAAAGGACAATTATATTAAATGATAATTATTTGAAATGCAAAATTCTTTATTGCAGTAAAATTGTAAGAATTAAAAGACGAAGTACACATTATTTACATTATTCAGACTATTGTCCTTATCTTTGTTGCCATATTTATTACAACATTTCGGCCTTTGTACACTCCAGCTTTCTTCAGGTGGTTGGAATGTTGAACTGAACCCTTTATTTTGCTCACTGGAGTAGACTGTTCTCGTTCCATGTGCTATGTTTTATTGGATGCCAGTTATCAGTTATCTCCTGTTAATTTCCTTCTCCAAGTTCTCCACTGCCTTAACCAGGTATTGAACTCACATTCTTTGGGTCCTGTCACTGGATCTAACACCTTTATCCACTGTGCCATGCGACAAAGATGAGGACAATAGTCCGAATAATGTAAATAATGTACATAATACCTCATCTCAAAAATATAGACAAATAAGGAAGTAAACAAATGATAATTATTCCAAATATAAATATCGTTAGTAAAACAATTTAGTAAGAAAAAAATCCTTATAATTTTTATGTCATATGATATTGCACACAAAGAGTCAACTACTGAAAAGGACTCGTGTGAAGAATGCTTTGCTTTTTTTTTTTTTTTTGTGTGTTTTCTACTTACGCTTCAGTATTTCTTGGAACTTTTGATATTTTCGTAACTTGCTCTTACTTTTGCAATATGAATTTCTTTCAAGTCCTGGTCTCTTAAGAGCATCTAAGAATTTCCATATTGTGGGATGATTGGAGGACACTTACTGCAAAAACCCCATGTCATCCTTCCATAGTGTTATTAGTTCTAGGTAAATCAACACTGATTCTCAAAGCAAGACTTATTTCAAAACATAGGTATTTTGAATAATTATCATTTAGCATAATTGTCCTTTTGATTAATTTTCATTCAATTTACAATTTGAACAAATGTTTTTTTGAATAATTGTTTTTGAACAATTTTCTCGATACATTCCACACTTGGGAGATAGGTGTAATCTTTCTCTTGCAATTTAGTCTTGAGCCATACAAAGCAAAGCTTTGGTTAAACGTTTGATTGGTTTTCTATGTCTTATCAAATCTTTGCAGGTTATTTGAAGCCAGAAAATAATCTTAGATCGGAAGAAGTATATTTAAAAAATTTTTTTTTGAGATAATAGATTAGTGATACAAGTATTACTAATTAACCCATAGCTGGGGAAGAAGAGAGGGATTCATACCTTTCTCAAGGGTACTTGTGTGTAAGTGAATATAATGAACCCAACAGGAATTGGAACATAGATCACTGATTAACAATTCCAAGGCATTATCCATTATACCACCTGCACATCCAAGCTTACAGCATCTGGTATTAGCAAGTGGTCACCCATCTAGATACTTAGCAAGCGCAATGTTGCTTAACTTCGTCAATTATATGGAGACTGGTGTTTTAACATTTCAACATGAAATGGCGTTAAGCCCAAGGCTTTGGAAATGGTATTCTAAAATAGACAATTTATCTCACTAGCCAAATAGCTGTCCATGAACAGAGAAAACTTAAGTCACCATAAAAGTTCTTTTACCACCCTAAAATTTCTGTATAAACAATTTAATCAAGATATAGTTTCATCTTTATTGGTCACAATAGGGACCAAGGTTTAATCCTAGATAGGATAAGGAGGGCTGATTTATAAGATAATCTAGCTTTCCTCAATTGGGAGATGGACATAATCTTTCCCTTACAATTTAGTATTGTGCCATATGAAGCAAATTGGAAATGGTATTCTAAATTAGACAATTTATCGCACTAGCTAAATAGCCATCACATAAAGAGAGAAAACAGTCACATTTTCAGCAAGATATCTTTTATCTTTGTCTTTGTGCTAAGTCAGTGGTTCCCAAATGGTGTGGCATGCCTCATAGATGTGGCAGAAGAGGATATTAGGTGAGGTGGAATGATTGAAAGAAAGATTTAGAAACAGTTTAAAAAAATTCATGTACCAAAAATAAATATGATTTCAAAATTTAAACTATAATTATGGATTATTTGTAATTGCATGCATGGGTCCCAGTATAAATATTACAATTATTGACTGATTTTATCATTGTGATATTTTTGCATTATATCAAGTATTAAGAATATAGTAACTAGGGCCTGCAAATTGGAGAAGAGAGTTATCAATGATAACGTTCAATTCCGCAGTTATCTCCCTTTAACGCTCTCACTGATTTTTTTATTTTTAAAGGTGATTTTTATCACATAAAATTTTGAGATGTGCAAGCAAATTTTAATTCTGAAAATGTGGCCAAGAGGAAATGTTTGAAAGCCACTATGCTAAGTCCACTGTATTTTCTACTCTGGACATAGCTGCATAAAGCTGACCATAAGAGAAACATCTGAATAATTTTCTAATGTTTATATTAATAATAATGATAAGATTAATTCAAACTAACTAATCCTAATTACTAAATCTAATTAAACAGATTATTTTGATTTATTTAGATTATTCAATAATTTCTTTTTCCACCATTTGACTAATTTGTAACAATGTGAAATAGCAGACAGCAACAATGCTTAGTATGAATACTGTAAGTTTTCTAATTTCCGGCTGAATTTTAACAATAAATATAAAATAAAAAAAAAAAAAAAATGAATTTAAAAAATAAAACTATGTCAGCTGAAGCAGTAGTTATATGTGACAATTTTAAAAATTTGAATTAAAAATAAATACACAGAAGAAATATTTAAAATTTTTTTTTTAAAATTTTTATGCAAATTAAATATTATTGCTGATGTTGTAAACGCCATAGGCTGGTAGATCATTCATTGTGATATCAATATCTGTTGTTTTGTTCTTCTGATGTAAGGTGGAGACAAACAAAATTTTATTCTCCAGCCTGTGAAGGTCCTTTGTTGGACGTAAGCCATCACCAGATTTATGGAAAGGAATGGGTCATTAGCCTCCCCACTAATGCAGGATGTGAGATAAAGTTGTTTTTAAGGTGGGGGAGTTCACACACACACACACACAATATATATATATATATATATATATATATATATGGTAAATATAATTGAATTGAATTGTATTTACGATTCCAATGGAATAAATTATGACCATGGAATATTAGTATTTAAGCCTTTTTTTATATATATATATATATATATATATATATATATATATATTATATATTTTGAACAATAAAAAAATATAAAAAAAAATATTAAAAATTGAAATCTTCAGACACATTGGGTTGTAGATTAATATTCTTTCTTTTTTATTATTATTTCATTTAGATTCCTTGACTAGTTTTGGCCAAAATGGCCATCATCAGGAGAAGAAATATTTCTGCTTGCTGGTAGCAGTAAAGTATATATATATATATATATATATATATATATATACACACACACACAATGGCTGGTAAACATTCATTACATGTTAAGATAGCGGGCAGTTTTGTTCTGATGCATGGTGGAGGCACATACACATAGCCTCACGTGAATTTACTCAAACCGGTTTATTTTAATAGCTGAATGTTTCATTCAGACAGAAGTATGCATACATCTCTTGAGATCATCCATCCACAGATGACCTCCAAGATTAAGACCCCCTCCCCACACACACAAAAAAAAAAAAACCCCTGCCAACACTTATAGAGCAGAAAGAGGATTCTCGCACTGCCTGTCCAGATAATCTCTGGGAGTGGAAATATTCCTCCATCCGGACTAGAATGGGGTGTGGAAAAATGACACCCCCCCCAATACACACATCTCCCTGACCAGATCCACCTCCAGAGATTATGCTGAAAGCATAATAAAAGCCTGCCATGTAGAAAAATACAATTTCTGCTCAACATAAGGTAACCAGAGTGAAATTGTTGTATTTTAAAATAATTCCTAAAAACTTACCATTGTTTGCAGCCTGGAATTGGACATTTTCACTTCTTGATCAGCATCCTCAGTGGAAAAGACCAAATCATGATCACTGACACCGAACACAGCTATAAAAAAAAGAAACAAAAACATACTATTAAGTTTGAAACTTGGTTGTCAAAACTGGCATTCTCCACTTGGAAGATTGGTGCTACAGAATCTTTACAATTTCTACTTATTTTGTCCATGTTGAATTTTATATCTTATACAATAAACCTCAAGCTACATTTTTATTATTATAGTAATCTACAATCGGATGTATGGGAGGTGTAATGGATAGCAGCTTGTAATGAGAAATTTGAGGGCAGAGTTCAAATTCTAGCCACATTGTTACATTCATTTACACACAAATACTCTTAGAGAAAGGTATAAATTGATCTCATGGCTATGGGTTAAATAGCAAAGCAGACTGGGCTTTTAAGCTTTGGTTGGCAAGCAGTCTAAGAGAAGGACAATTGTGAACTCAAAACCGATAGTTTAAGCAAGATTTCTATAAGGGTTCAAAGCAAAGTGTGTAATCAAAACAACACTTGTTAAATAAGAGTTGTGCTAGGATTTTTTTTGTCCATTTCCTTACAATGAAACATTTAGTATTTATTGACCAAACAACCAGTGCTGCTATTGGTTGAAATTTATGAAATCTCTATCTATAAAAGGCAGGATATCTGTGTGTGTGTGTGTGTGTGTGAGAAATGGATGCACGGCCACAATTTTCAACAAATTTGCACCAAAGTTTACATGCACATGTTCCAAGTTAGCGGGAAGACCAAAACTGACTTTGCATTTCCCAACTCCCATCGATAGTAGAAATAATCGATTTTTTCATGCTTCTATGGCAGAACTGGGTTGGGTGTGAAAAAGTATTTGTTGTTAACATTCATTCTTCATTCGGTTAGAAAAGAAAGAAAGAAAAAAAGAAAAAAGAAAAAAAAGAAAGAAAGAAAAAAAAAGAAAAAAAAGAAAAAAAAAAAAGAAAGAAAAAAAAAAAGAAAGAAAGAAAAAAGAAAGAAAAAAAGAAAAAAAAGAAAAAAGAAAAAAGAAAAAAAAGAAAAGAAAAAGAAAAAAGAAAAGAAAGATAAAAGAAAGAAAGAAAGAAAAAAAAAAGAAAGAAAGATAAAAGAAAGAAAGATAAAAGAAAGAAAAGAAAGAAAAGAAAGAGAAAAAAGAAAGAAAGAAAAAGAAAGAAAGAAAAGAAAGAAAGATAAAAAAAGAAAGAAAGAAAGAAAGAAAAAAAGAAAGAAAGATAAAAGAAAGATAAAAGAAAGATAAAAGAAAAGAAAGATAAAAGAAAGAAAGATAAAAGAAAGATAAAAGAAAGATAAAAAAGAAAGAAAAAAAAAATAAAAGAAAAAAAAGAAAAAAAAAAAAGAAAAAAGAAAGAAAAAAAAAAAAGAAAAAGAAAAAGAAAGAAAAAAAAGAAAGAAAAGAAAAAAAAAGAAAAAGAAAAGAAAGAAAAAGAAAAAGAAAAAGAAAAAAGAAAAGAAAAAAAGAAAAAAGAAAAAAAAAAAGAAAAAAAACTAAGTTTGACTAAAGAGAATAGTATAATGTATGTGTTAGCAAAGGAAACTGCATAAACGATATTTGGCAATCATCTTTCTTCTTGGTCGGACAATAAATGAACAGCAAAGGATTTGTTTGAGACTCACAATTCATCGATTCCAGGAATTTGATCTGATCATCAACAACTTCATCGCTCACTCGTTTGTTTGCATGCATTTGAGCCAGTTGCAACTGTGTCTCAGACACAGACAGGTCATCAACAATGAAGAGTTGCTTTAAATCTTGCTTTGTAAAATATCTGCAAAGTAAAAAAGGAGAATTATGAAGTTAATATTATGAAAGACCTGAATTGGGAAGAAAAAGGACACCAGTTCTGAGCATTATTCATTTGCAACTAGTTTTTTTTCAAATTATGACTGCTTTTTTTTATTTTTTTTAGATCATGACACAGACATATCTGCAGACAAGTGGGAAATGACAATAGAGAAGTAACTCCAAAGAAAATTGGAAATCATATCCAATATTTTGTTTTGGGATTTAGTGAAACTTAGATAATATATTTCAATTCTTTGATGAAACATTTTCACCATTATTTTCCTATTCAAATTTTTAATGTATTTAATAATTATTTATCTCAACACTTTCAATGAATACACTCTTCATTATTACTATTATTTTATTACTAGTTATATTCCATCTTATTATTGTTGCTTTTTATCCCAACCCTCTGGCTCTATACACTCTTCATTATTCCTATTATTTTATTACTAGTTTGATTCCATCTTATTATTGTTGCTTTTCATCCCAACACTCTGGCTCTATACACTCTTCATTATTCCTATTATTTTATTACTAGTTTGATTCCATCTTATTATTGTTGCTTTTCATCCCAACACTCTGGCTCTATACACTCTTCATTATTCCTATTATTTTATTATTTTGATTATCTATTATTGTTTGAACACTCCATTATTTTATTACTTTTGATTCCATTTATTATTGTTGCTTTTATCCCAACACTCTGGCTCTATACACTCTTCATTATTCCTATTATTTTATTACTAGTTTGATTCCATCTTATTATTGTTGCTTTTTATCCCAACACTCTGGCTCTTCATTATTCCTATTATTTTATTACTTTTTGATTCCATCTTATTATTCCTTTATCCCATTTTTATTATTATTTTATCACAATCATCACAATCCTGATCAAAGATTGTAGTTTTAGTATAAAGGCGAATAAGTTAAGGTTAAGGATTAAGAAGAAAAAAAATTTAACTAATATAAAACTATGCAGGTTGTTGGAAATATATTGTGTTTCTGAAATATGATATTTGACAGAGTCAGTTGATGGTCTCAAGTCTTGCAAGAAAATAAGGAAAAGAAGCAGGATGTAAGGAGGTCTTTTCCTTGGTCCATGAACTAACTAATGGTTGGATTGTCACCCTCTACAGTAACCTAGAGACAGCTGAAATTCCTGAACACATGAAGTAAGAGGGCTTGGAGAATGAACATATCAAAGACAAAAAAAAACAGGAGAAGCAGCAGGCCAACTACCTGATGAACTTATGTGAATGGATGGTAGAATGGGGTTGGGAGGGATGTTAAAAAGGTAACTGTTACTTAGAGCTATAAAAGAATAGGAAGTTGTAGAGAGCTATGATCGTGCATGTCCTGAAGGGACACAGCACATAGAAGAAGAAGAATCATAGGCCTTACCTGAAAGGGTCTTTTGACTCCTTCGTCGTCTGCCTGTTAATTGAGAGCTTAAAAAGTTGGCGAATGTAAATTTTCTCCTCGACTGTACCACAAGTGATGAGCCGGAAAATGATGACATTCTTTTTTTGCCCAATACGGTAGATCCTGTCTACGGCCTGGCTATCAATGGCTGGGTTCCAGCTTGGATCCACTGTTATAGGTTAAAAAAAAAAAAAATATAGACAATTAGCACACATTTTTTTTTTTTCAAATTAACTTTTTAAAAAGCATTTCCAAACAGCAGAAATTAAGTTTAGGTTGGCTTATTTAATACTGAACACAAATATCAAAGGAAAAAAAAAATCACCAGGAATTAAAATAGGCCCAGTTTACAATTTCTGCTATTACTCTTAGTTCAAAAACAAACAAAATTCTGCTAAATTTTATTCATGGGAATTGCAATAAAAACCAAAGATATTAAGATGAATGAAATATTAATCAAAAATCAACAAGAGACAATGCTTCATTTAGTAATAATAATATTCAAGATAATTTTTCTACTAATACTACTAATGTAATAAAAAGCAAATGAAATTAAGATGAATGAAATACCAGTCAAAACCGAATAATGATTGACAAGGCTTCACTTAATCCTAATAAAATTCAAGATATTAATAATATTACTAGTGTAGTAAAAAGCAAGTGAAATTAAGATGAAAGAAATAACTACTCAAAAATGAATAATGGTTGATAATACTTCCTTTACTAAATTCAAATAATAATGCAGAAATTTCTATAAAAATACTTCAGGGAATTTACTGAATTTCTTTTTTGTTTAAATATTTGAAGATCAAATTGCTCCTTAAATAACTTACCAATTATAATTCTGTCAGCTACTGTCAAGTTCAGCCCAACACCACCAACCTGAAATGAAATGAAATAATTTTGTCTGTATTCCTATTTTGTCAAGGTGTTACCAATTTTGGTAGTGTTAAAAAGCTCTCAGTTGCAGAAAGTTCCTTACAGTGATGTGCTAAAAGTCATAGGATAGGTGCCTAGAACCATTTCTAGTGCAGCAAATTGATGCAACATTAATTCTACAGTTGTCAGAAGGCCTTTTGACAGCTGTCCACAGTTTCCTATGATTTTGCATGCAACTAGACCTGTCCACCATATCCCATCAATATTCAAATTGAGCACATATCAGGTAAATCTGGTGGCCACACAATTCAGTAAAGATATCTAGAGCAATTCTGGGCAATTTGAGTTCAATGACAACATGCATTCCTGTTAGAATCATCCATTGATGTTGGGGTACATACAGTTCCCAAATGGTTACGAAACAGTGTCACTTAGCAGAGTTACCACTCAATGACACGTTTAGGCAAACCAACCCCTGCCAGGTTGAACAAACAGGAAAAAAGTAGGAATAGTGTTCACATGCAATAGGGATACAGTATAGTTGTTATAGCCTTCTAAATTCAAACAAGAAAAAACGAACATGGGGTGTGGTGGGGTGAGGGGTTTGTAAAACCAAGAATTGTCCATTTTTTTTTTTTATTGCTTAAGAAGAAACCCATGCATGCATCTGTAAGATTTGTCTATAAATTTGGGGAGGGGTGGTTTTCAGCAGTCGTTCCAAGGAGAGTGTAACCAACACCAAAAAATATCATCATCTGAATTGCCTTGGGTGATACACCCATGAGCAGATGGTCCAAATTCAGAGATTCATACTGCGTCCCAGTCTTGTGTTTGAACCATCGTATTAAGCTCAAGGATGCCATTGTTGTGACTCAAAGTAGTGGAGCCAGTTCCTTTCTCCGAGACGACATGTGAAGTGGATTTCTTTTTGAAGTTACCTTCTTTTAGCCTTTGGCTAAAGAGGCAAAACCTACAAGGTGGTTGGAGTTCAGAGTTTTCTTTCTCTTACACTGGTTACCAACCAAGTTTATTGTCATTGAAGGTGGGGGGATTGGGAGATGGATTCATTACATGTATGAACTATGACTGGAATTTGAACGCAGTTTTTTTTATTCCTCAATCCGAGCTGCTATCCACTGCTCTACCCATCATTCCTCCTTTTGAAAAAAAAAGATAGAGTTTATTGCTTACTTGTGTCGTGAGGAGAAATATGTGGATATCTTTGTTAGTTTCAAATCGACGAATTATTTCTGCCCTCTGTTCCAGCTTGGTAATCTGTCCATCCATTCTAACATGGCGATAATGCTTTGAATAAGAAAAGAAAAAAAATATCAGTCATGAGTTTAAACATACTCCAGTTGACAATATGACAAAATTTTATTTCTAAAGAAACTTCAACAATAAAGTGTTTAGGGAAGCACCCACACAGAAGCCAATTCTAAAAAGTGGCAGTTTTTGGGGACTGGGGCAACCTGTCAGAGTGGATGTTTCTCCTTACATTTGGGAGTAATGAGGGTGATTTGACTCTGTGGAAGCTATGGCATGCCATGCTACATGGCGTACCCTAGCTGCAATGAAAATCTGGTGGAACTATACAATAGAGCTTATCTGAATATTTGTCATAGAAATAGAGATAGAGTCGTGACAGATTTGTGACTTTGTGAGGAAAGAGGTAAAAGAGTGGAAAATAAGTTTTCCCTCACAGGTAATGATGGGACAATTAATCGGAATCAGAAATATTGAAACTTTTTGGGGTATCATAATTGGAAAATTTTTAAACTAATTTCTGATTCCAAAAATGATTCTCTCAAAAATTTTTTTTTTTTTTGTGTAAAACTTAATTTTCCATTCCTGTACGAATGATAAAAAAAGATATAAATATTTATTTATTTTAAACTATCAGTATACCTAAAATCTATAGATCATAATAACACCCAAGTTAAGTATGATGCAAATGAAATGTGCAAGTTTCTATTTTGTTCTCAAACTTTTCATAAAGTTTGTTAGTTTAAAGTCTGTTTTAGTTTGAAATAAAATTTTTATTTTATTTTTAAACATTGTTAATTCATTCATTTAATAATATAAATCATTAATTTAATAATTATAATTACAATTATGTAATATAAACACAAAATGAATTCATGTTGTTCTGCCAGGCTTTCTTTTAAGTTAATATTTTTTTTTTATTTATAAAAAAGAAAAATCAATGTATGGAATTACCGCCAATGTCACATTTGTCACTTTCTGAGCGACTGTTCGGTTCAACTCTCTTCCTACGGGCGGGAGGAACCCGAAGGAGGCTACGCCAAAGGGCGGAGTCTTCTTCGGGGAGGTAAAACCGGCCCAGAACCCGTTTATACGGGTTCAAATGGGCTATTTTTTGGCCAAGCCTAATGACTCGGGAATGCCCACGTTAAAAAGGCCTTGTGTCACATGACACCCTCGTTGTGACTGAATATTGTCACATTTGATTTCTTCACATAAAAAAATTGACCTTGTGTCACAAAATGTCCTCGTGGTAAGGCAGTTAAATTACAACAATTTGTTTTTATAATAGTTTTAATCCATAAAATCATTTTTAGTCTCAGTCATTGAAAAGATTTATTTTTGTTTATGTAGTATATTATGTAAACAAAAATAAATCTGCTTTTCAATAACGGAGACTTAAAAAAAAAGTAAGCATAATTTTTATGAAACTTAAATATGTTTATACAAAATTCATGTATTTCTTAAAATTTTATAAGCTTTTGAAAGATTTTTATCTTTATTTACTTAAAAAAAAAATCTAACATTTATTTGAAATTTCCTGAAAAAAAAGCTTTTTTTTGTATTAAAAAAACCTAAAATTTAATTTCCATCAAAAATTGTATTTAATTTTATTTTACTAATATTTTTCTTTGGCAAAATTGAACTTGCCTGTGTTAAATTATTATGTCATTTAAAATACTTTGAACTTTTTTGCCATCTATTCCTCCTTTGCATCAAACGAGATGCAAGTTTTATAAGTAGAAGTGTATAAAAAAGTCAAAAACAAGTATATTTTTTAGCCCATTTTTATCTGGCATGATTAAACTATAGTTTTTTTTCCACTTTAAATGTTAGTTTTAATATTTTTAAAATAAAACTAGTAAAATTTCATCTAATAACCTAATAACAAACCCCACCTAAAAAAACATTGATCTCAGGCAAAAAAAATACACATTTACAATTGTTCTCATCATTATAAAATGATAAATTTTTTCTTTAAAAAAAAAAAAAAAAAAAAAAAATAAAAAAAAATTTTTACTGTGTTGTTGCACTTTTTAACAAAAATAAAACACTTTTCGATTCTTTTTAGAAATTATTATTTTAGTTGTGAGAAATGTATTTTAGACAGTAAAACTTATTAGTGATTAAATTTTTTAGATAAGATTGAAAACCCTTTATTATTTATTTATTTATTAAGTTGCTGTGATAATTTATATTTAATTCTTATTAACCATCTGTAAGCAAATTTAAAATTTGCATTTCTTCTTTTATTCACTTTGTACTTTATCAAAATATATGCACAAGTTAAATGATGCATTTCTGTTTGGAGTATTATTGCTGCAATTATTAGGGTGTCTTATTTTTTAAATGCATGCTGAAATTGAATTGTCACCCCCTAAATTTGTTCCATTCATTGAAAAATATAAAATTTTAAGGAGATTGCATAATATTTAGTGGGTGCCTTTGCTTATTAAAACTTAAAAGGTGGACAAAAAAAATTACAATTAATAGCAAACCATTATTAGTTGAATCTTTATAAATTCTACACATTAGAAAACTAGAAACATTTTTTATCTAACAGTGAAAAATTTTAATTTTAACTGATGTTTATTATATTCAGACACTGATTATGTATCCAATCCTAAGCAGAAAAGTTTATTTGGAAGTTTAAGATTTCTGATGATAACCAAATTAAAGCAATATGTCAACTGTAGCTAAGCACTTTAAGGGATTTATGTAAAGAAATTGTTCTCTTTATTGTTTAAACTCTTACCAAAGTTTTTTAAATAAAAAGTGATATCTAACTTTATTTCATCAGCTTTTGAATTCATTTTTCTACTAAATGTTTTGCTAATATACTTTAATTAAGTTTCCCAAACCATCTGTAGGGCCTGAAATTAACGGATTTTAATCATTGTAGGAAGCGTATCAAAATCTGAAATTGGCAACTGTATCAGAGTCAGTAAAAATATTGGTATCGTTCTATCACTACTCACAAGATTGAACAATTTGGACTATTTCCATGATAGCAACAAATGTATTAATAAATTTGCTTTTATTTACTAAAATAAAGTTTAATCAATTTCTAATAACTAACAAGTTTAGAAAAATAAATATGTAAGATGACCACAGCCAAATCATTAGTGATGTGACCATGGATCCTTAGGAATTTCAGATTTACTCAACATCAGACTCCTTCAATGAGTTTACCCTGGTGGCAGTGATCAAATACCAACATGTCTGCATAAGAAGCTGTGTGAAAATATCTATCACAGAATATACCATCATGTAAAGCTTCAAATAGCAATGAATTTGTTAATTTTTTTTTAATTTTTAACAAACTGAAGGATAGTATTTTCTTGTGTATAATATGGATTTGCAATTTTCCAAGCGTAGCTCGGATGTGGCACAAGGCCGAAAGTATGGGGCACCCAGTGAGGACTCACTACTCAGTCGTAACTGTTCTAGTGAGACAAACTTTCTAACCATTACATTATTCTTTTTTATCCATTTATTGCACTAAGCTACATGCCCGAGTAAAATGAACTCCTTTCCAAAATTTGGTTTCGATTGGTCAATGTATGGCTATTTTGGAGGGTGTGATGAACAGATGGAGTAAAAAACAGAATTTTATATATAGATAAAATGTCTCCAAAAACCATCCTGCATGCTATAAATCGAAGGTCGGTGATGAGAATTAACTTCTCTTCTAATTATTACGTTCTAAATAGTTACCATAGTTTTGATAATTCTTCTTGGTCTGTGATGAAATAGTCATGATTAGTCAAGTTTTCATGCTGAAATATGCTATTCAATGGATAGAATTAAGGATAGCAAGGAGGGCTATGAAGTACAAGGGAAAACTTTTTTTTTTCTTATTTCTTCCATCAAATTTTTTTAGAGGGTCTAATACATCTGTGCACCTTATAAGTAGTGAAATATGGTACACCAATTAAAAAAAAAATCAAAAAAAAATCAAAAAAAAATCAGGAGCTGATAGCAACACAATAAAGAGTAAAAAAAAATAAATACACCAAATAAAAAAAAAAAAATTCAAATTAGGCTAAGGGTTGAAAGCAACCCCATAAATAGAAAAACAAAAAAAAACAGTAAAAAATAAAAGCAAGCCATTAACAAACCAGGTTGATAAGGATCTGCTGAATGATGTCTAACATCTTAGTGGATTGGGAGAAGACAAGGCACTTGTGTCCAGTTGCAGAGAGATAGCCAAGTAATTCAATAACTATCATCAGCTTACTGGACTCTTTATAAAGAAGAGCATCAGGGATGCCAGTTAGTTGAGTTGCAGCACAATCTGTTTCTTTGCTTTGTTTGGTTGGAATAGAAGTAGCTGGCTCCTCAGCTCCAGGCTGCCGTGTCCACTCAGGGATTTCAAGTGGGTCATCCAGGTGAGAAATGCGATCTTGGACACTAATACAAGTAAACAGATACATATATAAAAAAGATGAGAATGGATTCAGTCTTTTATTTTTCACGCTAAAATAAAACAACAACAACACTTTTTGGTAAACATACAACAAAGCCTCATCTTTTCACTGACTGAACATGTAATCCCACGTTGTGTGTCTACTTATGTTCAAGAAGGGGTGCACAAAAACTGGGAAAAGGTCCACTGTACATTCACAAGAAGACAAAAGGTGAGAAAATTGAAAACATGAATCCAGTTTCCCCCTATATTTAGTGGTTTACTTCAGAGGTTCCCTTGCATGATCTGGGTAGGTAGGTAGGTAGGTGACACTTGGGAAACCACCCTGCCCTGTCAGTCCAACAGACCAGCTTTTCCTTTCAACCAGCAAGAACTCTGACTTTCTCCTACCCCACCTCTGCTCATGTCTTCACCACTACAGGTAGGAATGGAACTACCTCAAGTGATAGTCTGCCCCCCACCCCCAGAGGTGCTCCAGCGCTACTCTCAATCCCAACTTAATATAGGCACACAACTGGAAATCTCTAATATCCGGTTTGCTGTCACTTGACCACCAAATTTTCATTTACCTATTTTATTTCCTTTTGGTCAAGTGAGTGCCCTAAAGATACCACATTACAGACTACTGTTGGTTATAAAAACACAAAACGTTTAAGACCCAGATGAAATCCATGTGATATTTACCACTGACTTCAGTGAGTTATGTGCTATGGGTGATAAATGCTTAGGCGATCATGTATCTTTTGATACATGACTGACGAGGCAGATTTTTTTCCCCACCGCAGTAGGTTACCATTTCTTTCTGCGGTAGACCAGTTGCCATCCAAGGCTATAGAATCCGGTCGGTCCTGCTATTTACCCATAGCTGAGGGGATAAGAAGAGGATTTATACCTTTCCCAATAGTATTAGCACGTAAGTGAATGTAATGGATCTTATTGGAATTTAAACTTGGCTGTCTGATTTCTCAATCCGAACCACCATCTATTACTGTGCCTCCTCCAGTTGAATTCATTACATTCACTTATGTGCTAATACCGAAAAGTATAATGTGACAATACTTACTATTTTCTTGTTTCCTCTGTAGTGAGCATTCCCAAGGCCTTGCAGATTCTCACAGACAACAGGCGAAGATGATCACAGATTTTCTTTAAAATATTTAAGGCGACAAGTGGCGATCGACTGGAGGACATTAACTGAAAACAAAAATGGTGATGATAAAAGATTAAAAATCATTTGCATAGGTTTAAAACATGCAATATTCCGTCAGTAAGGCTTGTATTGTGGATGCATGGTAGTGTAATGGATGGCAGCTCAAAATGAGAAGTTGCAGGGCAGAGTTCAAATTTCAGTAAAGTTCATTATATTCACTTATGCACTTTCTCTTCTCCTCCTCAGCTATGGGTAAATATCAAAACAAAATGAATTACAGTCTCGGAGAAAGAAAACCAAATTCAAACCAGCTTGGAGAGGTTTGGGCTCTGTCAGGCTATCTTGCCCAAGATACACCACCACTGCTGTGACTGCAGTACATGTGGAGCCTTTATGACACTCAGGGGTTTACAGGACATGTGTTTGTGAACGCTTGCATTCTGGGCTCCAAACCTTTTTTCACCATTGTCTTGGAGCCATTACGAAAAACAACTTTAATTTAGAGTTGTTAGTAGCATAATAAAAACACCATTAATATTAAAGTTTTATAAATGAATAGAGGAGGAGAAAGAAAAAAAACGAGGAGGAGGAGAAAGAAAAAAAACGAGGAGGAGGAGAAAGAAAAAAAAGGAGGAGGAAAAGAAAAAAACGAGGAGGAGGAGAAAGAAAAAAAACGAGGAGGAGGAGAAAGAAAAAAAACGAGGAGGAGGAGAAAGAAAAAAAACGAGGAGGAGGAGAAAGAAAAAAAACGAGGAGGAGGAGAAAGAAAAAAAAAATGAGGGAGGAGGAGAAAGAAAAAACGAGGAGGAGAAAGAAAAAAAACGGAGGAGGAAAAGAAAAAAAAAGAGGAGGAGGAGAAAGAAAAAAAAATGAGGAGGAGGAGAAAAAAAAAAATGGAGGAGGAGAAAAAAAAAAAGGAGGAGGAGGAGAAAGAAAAAAAAGGAGGAGGAGAAAGAAAAAAACGAAAAAAAAAAAAAATGAGGAGGAGGAGAAAGAAAAAAACGAGGAGGAGGAGAAAGAAAAAACGAAAAAAAGGAGAAAAAAACGAGGGGAGGAGAAAGAAAAAAATGAGGAGGAAGAAAAAAAAAAAACGAGGAGGAGGAGAAAGAAAAAAAAAGGAGGAGGAGGAGAAAAAAAAAAAAACGAAAAAAAGAAAAAAAACGAGGAGGAGGAAAGAAAAAAACGAGGAGGAGGAGAAAGAAAAAACGAAGGAAGAAAGAGAAAAACAAAGAAAAAATTAATTAGTGAATAAATTTCAGATGGAGACGTTAGGTGTACAGAGTTGAAGTCGACTTTAGAAGGAACCAGAAATTCAATCCTAAACAGGGGCTAAACCTCTACACTTATTCAAAAGACTGGGGGGGGGAACTAGATGATAGGCAAAACTATCTACTCTTATTGATGGCCAGACCTGTTGTTGTGAGAGAATTTCAGTCACCATTGTTTGTACTTATTTTTGGATTCTTTGCTTAGATGTGACTTTTTGAAATATGCAGTATCTGAATTGCCATTATTTCTCTCAGATTACATCTACCTGTGATCAGTAGGCGGTGCCTTTCGCCATTTTGTTGGTATTTAACCTAACATTCACAAGAGCCTATTAAGGTCACTACTTCATTTAAAAGTTGCAACCCTGACTGCAATATTTCCCAAACCTGACAACTATTGGGAACGCAGGAAGAGAAGACAGGATTGCATCACTGTCCTTACAGCATGTTCTTTGACTGTGTTTTGTTGAGTTTTTCATTTCTATGTAGATGCAATCTTTCTATTTTTAGGTTGGTAGTGGCCGTTTGTTTTCTTTCTTGCTAAATGTTTGCCCAGTAGAAGGCACAAGAACCACTTAAAGTAGAGGATTACTAAATGATGCTGTTTTATGGACATTAAAAGGAGCAGCTAAAAAGTGCAGATCATGATGGATAATGGTTGACTCTAAACTTGAAGCGATTAAGATCGTAGTGATTGGGAAAGCAACCTCCCAAGAGTCTCTCAAGAAACCAAGTGAAGGTCTGAATTGGTGGAACTAAGGAAGGAGGATGATTCAACCCTGTGTACGTGGTATGGCAGGCCTCAGCTGTGAAGGTCTGAACTGAAGGAACCAAGGAATGAAGGAAATGAGGATGATTCAACTCTGTGTATGCAGCATGGCAGGACTGAGCTGTGAAGGTCTGAACTGGTGGAACTAAAGAATGTAGCTTGTCTGAACATTTGCCAGGGAAATGGTGATAAAGTAGTGATAGGCTGGCAATATTTTGTTTGTGGGGAAATGGGCTGTAGGGTGGGAAATAATTCATTGCCCAAAAGATTGCATAAACTCTTTTGAACTCTGTCAAGCTTGGAAAGTTAAAAGTTAAACCAGACCATAATATTTAGAAATAGCATCTTGGGAGGAGCTATGATTGTCTACATCCTGAGAGAGGGGACAAAAATAAATGAGAATAAAAAAATTTATAGATAAAAAGGAATTATAATACAGGGAGATATCATTTATAATATAGAAATATATTTACCTCTTTCACCTCATCAAGTCTCAAGTAAGATTCATAAACTTTCTTTTGATCTGCAGTCATTTTGACCCAAACAATAATGTCGTTTTTCCGAGGAAGTTTTGGAAGTCTTAATTCCAGGGGAGAGCAAGAAGGGGAAGAAAAAAGAAAGAGAAAAAAGTTAACACACACATACATATATATATATATTTTATATCTTTTTTTTTTAAATAAATAAATAAATGGTAAATTCTGTTTGTCCATCCGTATGTTTGAAACCACTCTAACTTGGGCTACACTTGGTCTACATAGACACATGCTCTTTTAGAATCAGAATGATCCAGGGGTTGAAAATCTGCACCTCATCTGGTGCTTGAACATCCAGCATTGGGATGTTCGTCCGGATGAGGAGGGAACAGTTAAAAATTCAAATTTTTAAATAACTGAAAAAAAATTAAGTGATTTTAAAAGTTTTTAATTTATATTGAGTTTAAAGTAACATAAAAACTTTGTGAATTTAAACATTTTTATTATAAATTCCGTTTAAAATATCTCCCAAATTTTGGGAATTAAGGAAGTTGATTTTATTTCTTCAAAATGCCAAAGAATCAGAGTTAAAGTGAGAGGTTTTGTGATGTGGGGTTTTAAAGTTCTGCAGAGTTTGTGATTTGAAGAACTTAATTTTCAGTCTGAATTGGAATTCCGGCCAAAAAGCAGTTTTTTGGTCAGTATTGGTCTTATAGCCCAAATCAGTGTTAAAGAAAGGTTTTGAAGTTCCATGGTGTGAATTGAGGAATTCAAAGTTATTTCTTCAAAATTATCATTGCTGTTTTCTAAGCTAGACATGAGGTCCCTTTAATTTTGAGCCAGAGACTCAATTAGCCTTCTGCAGGAGTTAGCTTAAAAGTCTGCATGGAGTGCATCTTTTAAACTAGTTAACAATAAATGTGCATTTTTCCATCACAAGTAGCACAACACAGTTTCATGCACAGTGCAAACATCGGATTGTTTTCAATCAGCATCTGATAATTGCATTGTCCATGAAACTCAAATTTGTACTACAGGTGAGGAAAAAATGTCTATATTTCTTAATATAAATTATAAGTCTGATCAGAGGCCTTGCTGCCGGATGTAGTTTATTGTAATATCCTGGACTGAATTAAGATGAGATACAGTAAATATCCAGTTCATTATGACCATAACCAGTTGGGCGTGACCCCCCCTGGGGCTGCCATATGTACATCCATTGTTCTTGAGCACTAGTAGTGGAAGAGCATCAAGAGTGTATTTTTTTTCTCTTAAGTTCAGAAAGAGAGGCAGCCAAGGCAACTTAGAAGAATACCTGACCACCTACCAAAATCTGGCCAAACACCTGAATTTCATTTGGAAAGGCTTCTGGATTGGGTTGTGACATTTCAACCCCAACTGCTAAATGGACACCGCCTGCATATCCACATGTACTTTTTACCTCAGTTAATCGACTTTTCCTCAATCCTTATATGACAACAATACTCACCCACTGTCAGGGTCAGCCATGAGCTCAGCTTTGGTTCTCCTCAGGAAATAAGGAGCAATAATCTTTTGTAAATTTAGTGACATTGTGTAGCCAAGTTGTTTCTCTTCCAAAGAGGCATCTTTTTGACGTGCCTGCAACAACAAAAAAAAAAAAAAAGGTAGCAAATTTATTTTTGGCAATCTACAGAAAAAAATATAAAATAAAAGAAAAATGTGTTGAGTTATTTAATTCTCAAAATTATGGAAGGTAGACATAGAATGGACTGACTGAAACATTTTGGTAACAACAAAAGCAATATAAAGAATGAGTTCAATAGTCTGAACAACTCTTGGAATGATAATGACTTTTCTCAGAATTATAGAAGCCATCTTTTGTCAGGATTCCACACCTAAAAAAATAAAATTCAATCAAAACACTGTGACTACCACAAAGGTGAGATTTGTTTAATGGTACAAGCAACTTACACATTGATCATGAAACTCCTCAAAATTTTAACAAGTACCTATAGTGTACCCTAGGATGACTGGAGATTGACTCAACCAAAACATTTTGACAATAAAAGCAACGTAAAGAATGAGTTCAAATCACTACAGTGCTAATAAGCTACAATTTAAAATTGTTAATATATTAAAATACGATATTCCTTAAAAAAAAAAAAAAAAATATTCACACACAAAAAAAAGAAAAGATTGGCAGTTTGGTCTGTGATCATAGTATAGTATTTGTACACAGTTAAATGTGTATCTACCTCTCTTGGATTTCTTGGCGTGGCTGAAGAACATTATATATATATATATATATATATATGTGTGTGAATTAGGGTCAATTATATTACTTCACCAACCTTCATTGAATCCATTCTTAAAGAATCTAACATATGTTTATCTAAACAATGTTTAAGTAAAAATATTCCCCAAATCAACAAGCAAAAACACCAAATATAATGTCTACTAGACAAACACACCTACGAATATACATTATCATAGACAAACTAGAATTATTATACACTTGCATACATAAAGCAATATTTAAGGCTTTTCAGTTAGGCTTGGAATCAGTTAATTTCTTCTACTTCAAAAGGGTCGTGTCATCTCAACTTGAATTTGAAACACCATAAATTAATACTAACATTTGTTAAACAAGTTGAATGCATGTGAAACATGATTAACCAATGAAAATAAAACAGAAAAGTAAAAATCCCAGAATTTATTTCTTCTTTTTCTCCATATCTCATTCTTTGATGAAGCTTTAATAAAAGTGAAACATGTTAGCTTGATAAACATTTCCTATATATTTTCATTCATTTATACACATACATTGCAGACCATAATACTTCCTCTGTGATGTCTGTTCTGGGGCCAAGATTGATAATGTTTTGACTATCATTCTGTCATTGAAACAATATTTGTCCCTACTCAAATGATTCTATGTAGGAATTCTGACCAATCAGGTTTTGCTTCATTTTTTTTTTCCCTATTGGTATTTTAGCCAAAAGGTGGATTCCATTTCACTCTTAACTGTTATGCTGAAATAAGCATTTCTCCAAAAACTTCATGTTACACAAGGTTTTTAATAAAAGCACTGGGAATATCAGTTACAGTTGTATGAGAAACATGGAAGAAATAATAAAAGGGCAAAATAATAATAAAAATTAAAAAGGTATCGGGAGAGTGACTGTAGCTGAGATATGGTAAATTGCTCGGTAAACAATAACTGCTTGGTAGAGAGACTTGTTTATAAAGCAAAACTAGGGCCTTTATAAAGGGCTAAGAAAAAGTGTATATTGGTTCAAAGGAAGGAACATTCAAAACAAGATATTACAACCATAAATCATCCTTCAAACTAGCAAAGTATAAAAACAGCACAGGACTTGGGAAGTAGGATTAATGAAACCTTGAAAACAAAATAAAATTCATAAGAAAGTGAGCAAAATAACTAATTGAACTGTCCAACAAACAGAACTGACAAAGCAATAACAAGAAAAAGAAAACAAGGCAAAAAATAATATAAAGTAAGCAAAAAATATATGCAAAGCAAATTAACAGTAATAAAGCAAAAATAACAGTAATATGGCAAAAAGTTCACAAACTAAAAATTGGGTTGACACACAAAATCAAGTTCAGACAAGCAAACATAGTGCTTGGACTTCAAGGCAAGACAGACTGAGACTAAGTCAGATGCAACTGAGAACAGGCCTATTTTATTGGTTAGGAAAAATTCCAGCATGCATTTGTGTGCTTCTGTCTATAAAATGGAGAGGGGGGAAAGTATTTTGCAGTCATTCCTATGGTGATTGAAACCAACACTAAGAATGTTCAAAATTTCCCACTTATATAATAGAATTTATTTAAAGCTAATGTTTGTTTAGTGGTTAATAGCACAAAACTTGGCAAATAGGGTTCAATTTCCAGCTGAGGTAGTTTAATGTTTATTTCATACAAATATTTTAGGGAAAAACTAAGCCATCTTTCATATTAGATCAAATAAAGAATTAATCCTTATTAATAGTATGTTCCATATTACTTGAAGAGGAGACAGTCAAGTAACCTCGATTAACACAAGAAATGCTATGAATGATCCGACATAATATATGGGATAAATTGATGTGATAAAAAAGAAAGAAAATTAAAATTCAAGGGAGGTAAAGCAATGAATATATGAGAGTTATTCCCATTGAACAGAACCACTCCCAGATTGGAGCAATAGCTGAGGTAATTCTAAGCTGTTTTTTTTTGTGTGTGTGTGTATATATATATATATATATATATATATATATATATATATATATATATATATATATATATATATATATATATATATATATGTGTATGAAAATATATAGAAAATAGGAAGGAACTGGTTAGGTAAATAATCCAAAGTCCCTTAGTATTTTAGTTACTATTTTTTAAAAATAGTGCTCGATACAAAAGTAGAGCATAAATATAATTATTTATTTAAAATATGATTCCAATTCGCGACTTAAGAGGTCTCATGTTTCAAAACAAGAGCCGAAAACTTCAATATAATTATTTGAATTAAATTGAGTTAAAGTAAGCTCTGTTCCATCTTCAAGCAAAATTTTGTTTGGAATAACGTATTTCTAAAATTTACGTGTTTTAATAATTGAAATCAAAATTTCCATGGTAACAGCTGGGGCGAATTGTTTAAATTGGGTAGGCGAGTGTTGGGTGTTAATAATAAGTATAAAATAGAGTTAATTTCATAGATGTCAAGTCAGGGAAAGGTGGGGGTGTCTAAATTTGAAACGGAAGATGTATTAACCCTTGTCTATGGAGATTTATTTATTTTTTTATTTTATTTTTTTATGAAAGGGATTTGTGCATATAAAAAAAAACTGCTGTAATGTTTGTTTTTTGACAACTTCATAAAGGGTTATCTTTTTTGTAGGGTATTTAAACTATTTATTTGGGCTATGGATTAATCAAGTTATTATATTGTATGCTTGTTCTTAGCTAATTATTCAAACCATGAATCTGATGATTGGGCTATGGATTAATCAAGTTATTATATTGTATGCTTGTTTTTAGCTAATTATTCAAACCATGAATCTGATGATGTCGACAAAAAACCGTTAACTCATGTCTAATGTTTAATAGATTATTATTATTTAGAAGCTTAATAATGTGCAATTTCTCATGGAGGCACAAAGGGCATGGGTCATCCCAAGTTTTACATGTTCGAGCTTACATTAACTCCGCTAACAAAGAAATATTCCAACAACACAATGGCTTCTATAACACTGCCCTAAAAAATAGTGGTTATAAAAATGCTAGTTTAATACTAACCATTTGGTTGAATGGAGGGATATACCAAATGATTTTTCTTTTCCTGTTTTTTTTTTTCTTATGGCCAGTGCAATCGTCTCTATAGTTAATGTTAGCATTAAACAATAGACAATTTTTTCATCATGTCTGGTTATTATTTTTTTTAACAAATCATATATATATATATATATATATATATATATTCTGAAATTACAAATATGCACCATGTGTCCTATGTGGGTAGGTTAATGTCAGGTAGTTTACAAGATAATATGTCAAATAAAATAAGGTTGGAGATTGTCTTTTTCATCATGGCCTCTCTTCAGTCAGAGGCATAAGACTGATAAGAAAATATAGATATGTGTGGAGTGTTGCACAGCTGACAGAATTTTAGTTCAGTTTTGGGCGTTCAGAGCATTCATATTCAGCCAGTGGTGGAAATTAGTGCAGCGTGAATCAGAAGAAGATTTGATTTTAGGAAGAATGTAACACTTGTAATTTATGATTCTCTCAACATAACACTGCCTGCTCTGCTATTGTTTCTGGTTTTGAAAATTAGAGGTTTCTCTTGGTTGGCACAAAGAACAAACCAGAGACTTTTTTTTTTTTTACAAGTTGGGTTTGTGTTGTGGTTCTAGTGAGTCAGGTAGACATAGAAGATGAGCAACATCCATGGTTCCACAATTTTTTTTTTTGTTTAGCTGAATGTGACTGAATTACTTGACACCATTTGAGATCACCAAAAGAATTAACAGTACATGATTCAACACATGACAGAAGTTTAATTTGGCTTATATGATAATGCATTGTCAGCTTCATGACCAGGTGTGGTTGTAGGGTTGCTGAGCAGCTGAGTCCCTGACCATTTTACTGTATCACCTATCTTGGGCAAGTAGACCCAGCAGAGTCAAACAACAGCTGATGTCCTCCATCTTGAAGGCTCACATTATTCATGGGCATGTTGCCAATGATTCCATCAGAGGAATCCTCTACACTGGCTGCTGATTTCTTTCTAGGAGGCCTTTTTGACAACGTGCCATCACCACACAAGCTGTATACATAGCTATGCAGTCCAGTCTATCATAGTGTGCTAGATAGGCACTGACCCTGCAAAAAGGTCCATCCACCCTTTCACAAGTCTTGTTTTTAATCCTGCTAGGTGTCTAGCCATCCTTCTCACCAGATAAGCCTGGTAAGAAATTAGTTTAGTCCCCAATAACCCAACCATGTGGCAGTTAGTACTCAATTACATCATACCAGGATCATTTAGAGAGTGATCTGGCACAATGCAAAAAGTTGCAAAATACAAAACCAGTATTAATAGGAAATAAATCCAACTAAAATTTTTTGTAAAAATTTTATGTCATTACACCAGAACTTTCACCAGTTGTGATAAACAAATTTTCCTTCAAGGAGGCCCCATGCCTTGAGTGCCTAGTGGGACAAACTCAGCCCAGACCTCGAGTGGAACCTGTACACACAATGAATCGCTAAAGATGCTGAAAAAATAGGTGGGTTTCCTGTACTGCTGCAACAAGTACCTAACCCCTTGTGCTATCCTCTACTTTTACAAAAGTCAGATTGAAAAATGGAGCACTGTTGCCGTGTATGGGCAGGAACTGCCCAGTCTTCACTTTCCAGTCTTGATAGAGTTCAAAAGCGTCTCCGCTATCCTCTGCCTTTACAAGAGCCAGATCTAGTCGAAAATGGAGTACTGTTGCCATATACCAAAAGCATCTCTATGTCCTTGTTGGTGACAAATTAATTTCTACCCTACAACCCACTTCTGACAGAAGAGACTTTGCAAGTCTGTTGCTGCTCTGTCACTATTTCCATGGAGAGTATTCAGATTAACTACATTCCAATAGTCCTAACCTTCAACGGCTAAGACCTACTATGCCACATACATTGTAGCAAACCACCCTCATTCCATTCATATTCGTTTGGTAAAATGTAAGTTCCACTTGAGCAGCACTTTCCCACAAACCACTGTCTTGTGAAACCAACTCCCAAGAAGTTGCTTCTCCAATGACTACAATCTTAACCTGTTCGAGTTTATCGTTAACTGTTATCTTCCACACATATCCACATAAGCTGTGCCTAATAATCTGTAACCCTCTAACTTGAGTGGCCCTTGGGCCTTGCACAGCATGAACATCACTTAAAAAAAAATATTCCACATAAACAAAGGATGCAGGTAATTATTAAAAGAAAAGATAACCCCTATCATTATTTTACACTTCCTCTTAAGTTTATTATGCTGTGCTGGTAGCATGAACATATGAGGATGACTGGAGATGAGACACATTGTGTAGAGGACTAGGTACTCAAGTGCATCAAACCATAGGGTCATAAATGACTGTAAGCAACTATTTCACTGTTATGTATTTTATTTTCTCTTATCAAATGAGAACGGGTTTAAAAATAAGTTAAACTTTTTATACAAGTTGTGGCAAATACAGTAGTCCCACCCTCCCCTTAATCTAAGGTTTGTTTTTTTTGCAATTTCAATTATCCACGGTCAACCTCAGAGATAATTAAGAGGTTTTACGTGACAATGGCCCTGAAGTGCAAGAGTTCTGAAAGCTGGAGGTCAGATATGTCAAAGAGAAAAACGTAAAAGTTCTTAATAGTAGAAAGAAAAAAAAAATAATGTGCTGAGATCTACGGTAAGAATGAATCTTCTACCTCTTGCAGAACTTTTATTACAATATATTGTCATAATTATTCTATTTTATTGTTATTTATCTCTTATTGAGTACAACTTATAAATGAAAATTTTATCATTGGAGATTACATAAGATAATGTATTTTAAGCAAGCAGTCTTTGTAATTACAGTGCTCAACAAGTGAGAGAACAGTAATAAATGAAATGCCTACTTTTAGAAACAAATCAACACTACTGCCCGTGTGTGTGTGTGTGTGTGTGTGTGTGTGTGTATATATATATATATATATATATATATATATATATATAGTGCGATGGATAAATTATCGTCTAAATTACACAAAAATGAAAATAATACTGACATCTCATTTTAAAAGATATATTTATGAAAATTACATAAAAATAGCTTGAAATACTAAAGAGTAAATTTATTCAATAAATTGGTCTCTCACTCAACTGTGCCCCACACATAATAATGAAGGGGGTTGCAGTCAGGTGGCCAGGTCTAAGGTGTGATGTGATCGCAGAAATTGTCTGACAGCCACGATTAGGTTATCCTGCTTGTGTGGCATAGTGCAGAATCCTGTTGCCAGACATGTGGTCTTCCAGCAACCACCCTCTTGACCAAGAGAAAAACTACCTCCTCATCGCTCATGGGTGTCTGTGTTGAATTTGAGGCCCTAAACAGCAAATTCAGGAATTCTTTTCTTATCAGAACAATCAGAGTAAGTTTTCTGGGCTGCTGTACCTTGGTAATCATCATTAAACTCATCAAACTCTTTTCAAATCCTCTGTGCTGTCTTCGGATTGACACCCAAACACTCTGAAATGTTTGTATTGGAGCTGTAATGTTCGTATGGTTTTGGTTTCCAAATTTCTGGCAGGGTGAATTGCGTCATAGTGCTCTTTCTCATAGATGGTGTCCAACTAAGCTTACTATAATGTGCTGTTGACAAAAACAATGTGCAAAATTAAAAAGACCTTTTCTGATGTCTTTGGACATCACCTGTAGGGCATAAAGGAGGAGGAAGAAAGTGCCCATATAATCAAAACTTTTGGGTTTATTCATTGGCAATGAAGAGTACAGAGATTTTTATCCAAGCAATATTAATGGACCGATGGGTAGTAAAGTAACTTGTGATACATGGAAGTTGTGTTCTTGCATCTGTAACCAGGATGTTTGAAAAAGCCATTTGCTATCAGCATTTGGATTCATTTTTACCAATTCTTAGAAACATCAAGTATAGCACACTCAAGTCTTTACTAGCATATATATATATATATATATAAAAAAAAAAAAAAAAAAAAAAGGATAAATTTCAATTACTTACCCTTGTAATGGGATTTTCATAATTGATCTTAAAAGTTTTGATGGTACCCAGCAAAGAACCGTGATGTACAAAATCAAAAAGTGACCACATTTCCTGTAATTAGCAGAAAGAAATATTTTTTAAACTTCAATGCAATATTTTGATTTTCAAATTTTTTTATCTAATTGCTAATTTAATGACATATCAACACTTGTTGGGGTTATTTAATATTGAAAGTAAGTCCTACAGAAAGAAAATTGCTTTGAATTAGAGAGACAGATATTGTTTTACACTCAAGTCAAAAAAAAAAAAAAAAAAAAGGGAAGCTTGTGTCCAGTTTTACTTGACTCAAACATTCAGTTTTATCATAGTGTTAATAAAAAAAGAGGAGGCTTTTACACTTTAGTCAAAAAGGGAGGCATATGTTCGGTTTTACACCCTAGTCATCCGAATTTACAACATTTTATTCAATTATATATTCACCATTATTTGCAATGACTTGTTGCTTATCACACAGGCTTTTGATACCTTTTGAGTAAATTCTGCAGGTTTTAATGTGAAGAAGCTTTTAAAGAACTCTTGAATCTGGACTTAATTAGACAAAGTTTTCCCCATCAAAGTGTTTTGCGGCGATCACAAAGTAATAATCGATCGGTGCAAGGTCAGTTGAACATGGTAGGTAGGGTACACCAGGCCAACCATGATCCAAAATAAAGAAATAATTTTCGTCTTTGTTTATAGAGTTTATTCTTACAAAAATAAAATGAAGTTACATTTTATTCAATTATATGTATTAACAGTATATGCTGGAAAACCGAAAGTCAAAATGGCTACAATTGAAAGAAAATAGGTAAAAGAGAAAAGGTAATAAACCAATAAAGAGTGAGTATAAAGTGAAGAAAAGGACAATTAACTATAACATTCTAAATGTATGCACATACATGCAGAAGGCTGTACTGGCATTCACGTATGCTACAGGGGGTGGGGAGATTTGCACCAATGAAAGTGCATATAAAAAGGAAAATCGAGTAGTATAAGCAGTCAGTTGCTGATATACCCTTTGAGGAGTGGATGGAGTGCTTCATGGAGGGTCTGTCCATGAAACTCTGGAGTCGGGATGCTTAAGGTAACATCAATCAGCTAAGTGACAAACCTTTCATATTAATTTTGTGTGTGTGTGTGTAAATATATTCACCATTATTTACAGCAACTTGTGACTTACTCGATGGCTTTTTGATTCCACAGGTTTTAAAAGGGAAAAATTTTTTGATAAACTCTAGAATCTGGTTTTCATTGGAGAAAATTTTCCTTGTTAAAGTATTTTGAATCGATAAAAAAAAAAAAAAAAAAAATTGTGTGGTGTAAGGTCAGTTGAATATGGTGGGTTGGCTAGAACAGACAAAATGAGTTCCAAAATCATTCTGCTGTCCCTGCTGTATGAAGATTTGTGTTGTCATGGTGATGAAGGTTTTTTTTTTTTTCTTTCTTTTCTCCTTTAATCCACAGTGTACACTACCAATTGCTGTCCAAAAACTAATGTATGTTAATGTACTACAAATTTATTTATAACTGCCATGACACAATTTAAGAAAAGCACTATTTGAATATAGCAGTGATCTCCCTTTAATTTTCTACATTTGGATTTTTTCAATGAAGTGAAAAACTTATTTAACACTTTCAATGCAGCCAGTTTTCAAACAAATGACATTTGCTGTTATGAAGCAAATCCATTTGCAAAGTTATTTATTAAGCCTAAATAGGGCACAAAAGGAAACCTGTTTCAAACAGCCGAGAGGCTGGAGATGGATTTTCTAATAAAATCATTTCCTTCTTTATATTAGGCCGAGTCATATATAATTTCTGTTTTTGTTTATCAACTTTATTCAAAGAAAAATTGCAATTACATTTTCCCAAACTATTTTTTTCTTCAATATATCTAAAAGCTTTTCATGTAGGCATATATAGCTTGACAAAACACACACACCAAAAAAAAAAAAAAAGGTACCAAATTTATTATGCCGACTATATTAGCAAATGAGTTATGACCATTCAAAGTTTCTTGGATTTTCTGTCTTTAGTTTGAATGGGACAGAAGACCATTTTGACAGTGTATATGTGAAGATGTAGGCTTCAAACAAGTAAAAAAAAAAAAAAAAAATCATTATAAATACAATGTCATGAAAGAAACATAATACTAATGGAATTAATAATTATTAGTGAGGGGGGGTGGATTGCATTCCGTCCTAAAAACAGTTAAAAAATAACACAGGAAGGCACCTTTGACTATATAAATTTCAATTCTACAGTTAAGTCATTGAAATATCTTAATGTTTCATACTATGTTAGAGATTAAGATAAATTTTCTTCATCAGTAAAACAAATCTTATAGCACCACGTTGGGACCCTAACAAGTGCTAGCACTCTGGGTCAATGTAGGCCTGGGAACAACATTTTTCATATATATATATATATATATATATATATATATATATATATATATATATATATTTTTTGAACAATAAAAAAATATTAAAAATTAAAATCTTCAGACACACTGAGTTGTATATTAATATTCCTTCATTTTTATTATTATTTCATTTAGATTCCTATATATATATATATATATATATATAAATAAAAAGAAAGAACAGTAAGATATATAATCCGGTGTTCTTATTGATATTTTTTATTTTTACAAAACAGTGTTCAATGTAAATTTACAGAGCATAAATATTATAAATTAACCGATTTAAAATATGGATTTTTCACTACACAGTAATAACCATGTTTCAAAAATGGAAGATAAAAAGCTTCAAATTTCATTTTGTAATTAAATCAAAAACATTAGTTGCATTTCATTCTCAAGCGAATTTTGGAGTAACTAAATTCGCTTGAAGATGAAATGGAACTAATGTTTTTAATTTAATTACAAAATTAAATTTGAAGCTTTTAGCTTCCATTTTTGAAACATGGTTATTACTGTGTTGTGAAAAAACCATATTTTAAATCAGTTAATTTATAATATATATATATATATATATATATATATATATATATATATATATATATATATATGAGAGAGAGAAAGAAAAAGTCTCTAAGTGAAATACTTGCCACCAAATTGTTCTGTATAGGAGTTCCAGTGATTATGATTCGATTATGAGCTGGAATATAGTGTGCTGCCTTTTGTGTCTTGGTTGGATTTTTGATTTTGTGACCCTCATCCAGAAACACGTAATCCTAGAGAAAGACAATAACAGAGAGAGAAAACATTAAAACAGGGTTTTTATTGAATAAAAAAATAAAAAAAATAATTTGCATAACTATATAGATATTATGTAAGCCAAGCACAAAATCGAAAGAGGAGGGCACCTAGTGAGGATCAAACACACAGGTAAGACTAACCAAGGAACAAACAGTATAGGATAGCATCTTGCACGACCCCACAATAGAGAGACACATCGTAACACTATAACAGTATTAGCCAAGTCATAAACACTCTACAATAGGTCACCTCTTAATATCTGTAGATATTTACATAAATCAGCCTAATCTGGTACAAGGCCACAGCAGAAAGGCACCCAGTGAGGAGCAAACACACTGAAAATGGCTTGTAAGATTAACCAGGTAGTATTATTATTTATTTGGTTGAGTTACCTCAGATACTCATGAGTCTACCCGTATCATAACATAGCTGGTCAATATAGGTGGTTACTGGACGACCCACCTGTCTTGTTCCATGGCTACGTGTCCAGAACAGTAGATCACGTATGAGTTCTTGTTTTGTTTTGTTAGTAAAGTCCTGCAAATGCCATTCTGCATTCACATAAGATTGTTGAAATTACACTGTTTTTCAACAGAACCAGGTCATAAACTCTATAATAGGTGACTTCTTAATGCCTGTAGATATTTTAAAATAAAATATGTCTAATCTGGCACAAGGCTATAGCAGAGAAGCACTTAGTGAGGATCAAGCATTTCAAGAAATGGCCTGTGAAATTAATCAGCTCACCATTGTTCCAGGATAGAAAATTGCATATTTTTTTTTTTTTTTTTACAAAGAAAACTATACATTTTTTTTTATCTATTATTAAAATTCTTTCTTTTAATTCTAAAAGAAAAATTCCTCATACAAAAACGAGAAAGTTCTGTTCTTGCTTTTTTTTTAAAATACAGATTTTTTTTTTTTTAATGAAATTCTTATTTCACTGAATCTATACAAGACCGATACACTTTGCTCTTTCCTTTAAACTGATTTACAAGGACATGGAAATTTTTTCTTTAAGCAAAAAGGTGAAAGTTATGACTTACTGAAAACTATGCTGAGGTTGCTAAGATCTATGCTATTGTCACTTATTTATATATGCATTGTGGTGGAATGGATAATGGCTTGGAATGAGAAATCGGAGAACTGGATTCAAATTCTTATGAGAAAATACCTTTGGGAACGGTATGAATCCATCTCTCCCTCCTCCATGAGCTATAGATTCAACAGCAGGACACACTGGGTTTTATAGCCTTGGGTGGCAACCAGCTTACCACAGAAAGGAATGGCAGCCTACTGTGGGAAAATATTCTGCCTAGTCAGTCATGAATCAAAAGAGACATGATCACCTAAGTGTGTCATCTATGACACTTAACTGACTGATGTACAGGAATAAATAGGGCTTGGTGTCACTGTACTTTCAGACAACCATGGAGAGAGGGGGGGCGTCAGGGAACATATTGCCTGCAGAAAAGCAGCATTGCATTTGACTATGAAATAAATAAGTCCTCAGAAAGTTACGAGGTGTGAAATTTATGTTATTGCATGACTGACAAAAATCAAAAAGCAGGAAGTATAAGAGAAAAAGAGGAGGAAGAGAAGAAAGCAGAGGAGGAGATAGAACAGCTGAAAGGGAGGAGAGTGGTGACAGAGCAGATGAGGGGAGGAGCCAGTGGAGGGGAAATGCAGGTTTAGGGAGAATGGATGACAAGGCAGAGAAGCTGAGGGGAAGAACTGGTGAAAGGGAGGTAAAGGTGGAGGCAAAATGTGAGTGGGTGAGCCGGTGGAGGCAGTGCAGGTGATGAAAGGGAGGTGCAGGCAGAGCGGGTGAGCCAGAAGAGGCAGAGCTGGTGAGTGGGTGAACCGGCAGAGGCAGATTGGGTGAGAAGAACTGATGAAAAGGCATTGCAGGTGGAGGCAGAGCAGATGAGTGGAGGATTCTGCAGGAGACAGAGCGGATGTGTTAGGGAACTGGTGGAGGCAGAGCAGGTGTATGATTGATTGATTGATTGATTGTGTTTTTTTTACAGCTTATCAACCTCCTGGATGTTATTTAAAGCCCAAACATATTTTTGATTGTAAGAATTTTTTTGTGAATGAATATTACATCAAGAATTTTTGAGAATAAAGGTTTTTTCCAGATACAAGTCCTACTATTTAACCCATAGCTTGGGGAGAGAGAGGGGGGGGGTGAATTCATACCTTTCCCAAGGGTATTTTGTGTTTGTAGGTGAATGCAACAAACACTGTATTTTGAATTTAGCTCACTGATTTCATATTCCGAACAACTATCCATTACACCACACATCCACAGGAAGAGCAGGTGAAAGGGAGGAATAGGTAGTGGCAGAATGGGTAAAAGAGGAAGAGACGAGAGAAGAGCAAAAAATATATTTATGAAATTAACCGTCATCTGCGTCAGATAAAATCTAATAGACTGTTCTTACCCAAATAAACTGGCGCCCATTCGGACCTTTCGACAATTCCTCATAGTTGGTGACAATTAGACCATATGTGGTCAACAGGATGCCACCTTCGCGCTGGAGGTTGTGTAAGAGTTTCATACGACCTGCCCGTGTTTTTCCATGAAAAGTCGCATAGTTTAAATTTGGGGCCCTGCAAAAGAACGGTCTGTTATGGTACAAATTCATTTGATGTCTTTTCTAACAACTTCATTATGGTTACCAGAAAAAGAAAAATGCTTTGGATATTGTTAAGTTTAGCGTTTCAAAGAATTTATGCATACCAGATATATATTTACATCACATTTTCATTGTCTTTTTTAACAAGCTTCATATTCTGAAACACTGAGTAATTCAGTAATTGTTTTCATTTTTTAATCATTTCACCCCAAGCAAGGCAATACCACCACTAAGACACAGGGGGTTACTGAGTGTTAGAGACCATGAAGAAAAAAAAATACTGTTGAAGAGAGAGAGAGAATAATAAAAGAATTAAGAAAACATTTGACACTGCATTTCTGAAGATCAAAGTTAACAGGGAAACAAGAGGTTGGAAAAGAGTTCCACAAGAGAGAAGTGTGATAGAAGAAACTGTTAGCATAGAACTTATGGTTACATCTTTAGCCATTTCAACTGTAAAATGATGAGACTTTGCCACTAATCTAGTACTGCACTTAAATTCATAAAGTCTAGGTACCATAGAGGAATTTTCATCAGGACAATTACATTGAAAGTATTTATAGAAAATGCAGAGGGAAGCTATGTTACAGTGGTGGGAAAGTGACTGAAGCTGAGATGCCAGATCAGGATCAATAACATTGCAGATTCTTTGGATTTTATCAAGATATCTAAATATATAGCAGGAGCACCAGACCAGATGTGGCAGAAATATTCAAAGCAAAACTGAACGATAGATTTATAAATATGTATGACAGATTGTGGTAAATTGTTTCAAGCATGAAATAAAAAAGTTGGACAACCCAAAAATTATTTCCATCTTTATATGAAGTAGTAGTTTAACAAGTATCAGTGCAGAAAGTGGTGAGCCAGATCTAAATTCCCATCTGGTCTTGCATTCACTTTTGCACCAATATTCATGGGAAAGCTATGAATCTGTCCTCCACCCCAGCTATGGGTTAAATAACAAGGTAGCAGCCAGTTGAAGTGAAAAACTATTCTGAATTCAAAACTGTAGAGAAGGCAATGGCAAAACCACTCCACTAACTTTCACAAGAAGTCATGGTAATTCACAGACAAGGAAATGGAATCTGCTGAAAACCATGATTGTGTATGTCTGAAAGAGATATGACACTAGAGTTTATATAATTCAGATTAGACAAAAAATTGAGTACTGTCGGCCAGTCCTCACTTGCTTATCTTGATAGAAGACAAAAATATCTTTGCAGCCTTGTGGGTGATGATTTATCTTCCTCCCTACAACCCCTTTCCCACAGATGAAATATTACGAACCTTTCGTGTTTTATTGCCACTTCCATGGCATGTATTCTGGTGAGCCACATTCCTTAGTCCCACCAGCACTGAGCTTTACAACTGGGACCTGCCATGCAGCATATGCCCTATTGAATCATCCCCATACCCTTCATATTTCAATAGTAAGAAGTACACTCCATTTAGACAGATTCTTCACAAGAACTGCTGCTTTGTGGAACAGACTCTCAGCAGGATTTTTTCCCAATCACGACAATCCTGACCTCCTCAAATCTAGGGTTAACAGTTATCTTTCCTGCATGACTACATGCATGTCACTTCTTGCCCTTTTTTATGCTCATATAACACAATAACCCTCTACCTTAAGTGGCTCTTCGGCCTTGAACTGGGTGAATATTAGCATAAAAAACAGAAAATAAATATAGCTGCAATGATAATATTAATTAAAAAAATGACAAGGAAAACATGTGCGGATGCATTTCATTCTATTTCTACATTTGTCTTGATAAAGTTCCTCATGTCTTGCCATTTCTTGTCGAGTGAAGTCTGTGGATCTTGGTGAAGAATATCCTTCTTTGAAAATTGTGGAATGGAACTATAGAATTACAAAAGATCTGTACCAATTAACAGAAACCATATCACTGGAGCACTTTCAACAACAGCAACAACTAAAATGGACAGCACATGTAAATAGAAGAGAGAATAAGATGTTGATGTCCCACACTACAGTAAATGAAAGATTAAGAAGGTAACTGCCTCCACCAATACTAGGAAAAAGTGATAATATCTATCAGATCTGAGAAACCTATTTTCCTGAAAAATTGTTTTAAAAGAGATTTTATAAATTTCAACTGAAACTGCTCTGGCTGTTCAGTCAATAAATATTTAATTAGCCCCCACCCACCCCTGATAAAAAAGCAGCTATTAGATTAAAAGCCACCCTCTCAGGTGGCATTTAATCTAGCTCCTGTGGAGGGCACTTGATTGGGCCTTCATCACAATAGGTAGGGAGAAGTAGATGCGAGAGGCATCAATAAACTACAGAACTCAAAATTGATTGCTGCATTTGTGTATTGCATTAATATTTAAGCTTATCTTTTAAAAGTTCAACGATAATTCTTCTACCACCACTTAATTTAAAGACAAGCATGTAGGTCCTTAATTTCTGTACAAACAATTATTTTTATTTCATGGGTAACTTTCACAATTTATTTTCATTACTACCAAATTTATTTCCAAGTTATAAAATTTGTTATCTACAAAAATATCTGTTGAAAAAATAAAAAGACATCAAAATCAATCACAGTAATTAAAACTTTGTAATCCAAAATTTCAGGATTGCGGGTTTCGATCCAGCCCAGAATGTTTTTTTAATTTGTTCATGGAGTCAGTCTGATCTCAAAATGGTATGATATGTTGGTTTACAACCTTTAGGAGTAAAGTTGAAAAAGTTTGACACACTAACATTCGTAATTATTATATATATATTATATATATGTAAAAAAGTGTGAGAGATATGGAGTAATGCTTGTGAGGAAAAAGATGCCCCCAGAAGTCAAAACAAAGAGATTTTTATTTGCAGTCAGACTAATGTCTTTTTTGTTATCACAACATTGTGCTCTTTCTCCTTCAGGTGTCTGTCAATCTGGGTAACCTTCAGAAAATTTTAAATTGATATCTAATCTTGTGTTTTTAGTACTGCTCCGCTGCATCAATTTGCACCACCTGGGCAAGGGTCATGACTGATTGTTGTTTTTTTTTTTTAGATAATAATGATTTACTGATACAAGGGATTATAACTAACCAGACTATTATTGGAACTTAGCTCTCTGATCTCCACTCACAAATTGTTTATGATGAATTACACCACCCACACATTCAAGCTTATACCACTTGGTCACCCACCTAGTTTATACCCTGGTCCTCTGATTAGGACTAGGTTACCAGTTTCTTCTAAAGTCTTCATTATCTTTCACTCCCAGTAGCCCTTTGCGTCTTAGTGGCATTATCCTCTTGCTTGGGGGGAATTAATTTAAAATATATATACAGGTATCACCCCCACCTTCAAAAAAAAAAAAAAAAAAAATGACATAATTTAAAATGTGAATATCTGAGTAACTATATGTCCCAGGCAAATGAAGTTAAATAGGCTTCATGTTGAACAACAAAAGATTTATCAAAATTCAAACAAGATATTCAAAGGTATATACATTTTATAACTGATTTCACAAGGCTTCAGAAATATTCAATATGTGCACTACCTGTGATACAACACACGTCAAGTTGGTAGTCCAGCTCCTGTCAAACATGCTGTAGCATGTCTTGCGTAACATTCTCCAGCGCCTTAGTGATTCTCTGCTTAAGTTCCTCTAGGCTTGTAGGAAGAGTGGGGTATAGACCCGTCCTTTCACATAGCCCCATAGAAAAAAAAAAAAAAAATCACAAGGTGTCAAGTCAGATGAGTGTGGTGGCAATTTCATCAGCACATTATCATTATCACTGGCATGCCTGATTCATCTTCCAGGTAGATTCACAATGAGGGAAGTCCACACCAGTCAACTTAGTTTTTACACATTTTGTTAAAATTTGAGATCATTTGATTGAAAATTAGCTATATTATTAGACTACAAAATTATGTAATTTTTTTTTTTTTCACTCTGCGTAAATATATAACACTGTACTATGGTTGTACCAGAAACTTTGTATGGTCAGTCAATCACAATTTTAATTGCAACAGTACAGTTTATTAAAAGGAGGTAACCAAGTCTGGTTCAAGTTTAGTACAACATTTCTGTACATATAGTTTGTATAAACTATACTGTTATATATGGATGTATGATGATTTTTAAAAAGTTTGTCTGAATTACTGGGATAAAGAGTTATCACTGTTCATGGGACAATAGCCATGTGAATTAAGGTGTTGGTATGTGATTTGATGGTATAGCAATTGTGAGGTCTATATTTTTTCAGGATATAGCTACTGCTATTAGTGATTCTTCATGTTATTGGTCCTGACCTGGCATCTTGGCTTTAGTTTCTTTCCCACTGCCATAACGCAGCTTCTCTGCGTCTTTTCTATAAATACGTTCACGGTAATTGACTTTAAGAACTTACGCACTGCATTAGATTGGCGGCAAGGTCTCATCATTTTTACAATTGAAATGGCTAACTGTAACCATAAGTTCTATGTTAACCGTTTTTTCTATTGCAATTCTAGCTTGTGAAACTTTCTTCTGGTTTGTTGCTTCCCAGTCAACTTAGATCTTCAAAAATTTAAATGAAATGTCAATTGTTATCTTTTGTCTTCTTAATTCTTGTTCTTTTATTGTTAGCTTTTAATAATGTAGGTACCTCCACTTTTTTGTGGGAAAACAGCATAGCATAATGAAAAAGGACACAAACTTAATAAAAATAAAGTTTTATTGTCAAAATGTCTATGTTATTATTAAGATGAAAGACCAAAGTATTTTTTGATTATTTTTAAATGTTTTTTAATCCTAACACATTTGAAATTTTAATTAAAATCTTCTTTTGTTTATGTCATCACGGTGGCATAATAATTACATTGACTTTTTTGAAAATTCTTGTAAAAATAAAATAATTGTCCGATTTTACTGAAATTTTCAGGAACTATTCGCAAATGAATGAAATTATTTTTGAAATTTTTTATTTTAAATTTTATTAAAAATATATATTTTTATTTATTTTTTACATAAGTTACCCACAACTTAATTTCATGAAATTTTGCAAAATACCTATTTCCTGAATTTTTTTATTTGTTAGAAGTAGGACTCCTTGGAGAATGTAAATCACATAATTTTTTTTTTTTTTCCAAATTTGCACTATTCTAACGAAAAATCTGCTCTGAATTGAAAAATAATAAATGCAATAAAACTATGACATTATTTGTTTAGAGAAGCTTTTAATTATTTTTGTAAATAAATTATATTAAAGACACTATTGTCTGAAGAAATAAAATTTTTATAATGAATTTTTACAAGAATTTTTTCGTTTTTTTTTAAATTTTAATTACAATAATTTAATAGTTTAAAATAGTGTAAAATTCTTTATTGGGCTATTTCTGAGATATGACATAGTAATTAAGTGGAAACGAAATTTATGAATCCAAAACTGAAAAGATTAATAAACATTTTTTGGTATAAGTTAAAAAAAAAAAAAAAGAAAAAAAAAGTTAAATATTTTTTTTTTTTTTAATTAAATTATAGGTTGTTTACTAGCATATAAAATGTGCACTGGATAAAAAAAAAAAAAAAAATAAGTAGAAAGTAAGATAATTTTGCTAATATTTGCTAGCTTAACCAAAATTTGGAGGAAGTCAAAAACGAGAGTAGATTGTTTTTAAAATCTGTCAATCAAACATCCACCTGGTTGAGGTTAAATCCCACATTCACCTGAAAGTTGTGTCAACAAAATAAGAGTTATTTGAGTACTTAGCATGTCACCAAGGTTAAAGGACAGAAAAAGGGGAAGAGGAGGAGATAATTGTTTTTCTCTATGAAATTGACATATATCAATTGTCAAAAATCAAGGCCAAAAACCAGATGACCCAGAATAAGTAGCAGTTCAAGATATTAGGCCAAATCTGCCGCTGAAGGAAAAAGATGTGCTGATCACTTGCAACCAAAGTCTTTAACCTTTCAAGGCCAGAAGTGCTCAAATGCACCTGCAGGTTTCACACGCTTAGAATTCATGAACATCTGAATGTGCCCCGCAAGCAACGGAAACGTATTTCAATTCGCAGTAATAACACCTGTCACATCCTTGAAACTAGAGGCACCAGAAATCTGTAACTTTTATGACAGAGCCAGATTTACATATGGTTTAGTATGGGCTGCAGCTCAGGGGGCCCTCTCATTTTGGGCCCCTGATAAAACTTTTTTTTTAATAGACATAGGTGAGGAGGCAACATACGAGGGGGCACCCAAATTCTATTAGCCAGTGGCCTCTTAAAGCCTAAATCCAACCCTGGTTGTAGATTTCCAAAACCATCTCCCCCAACCAGTAATACCAAGGAAGTTGAATTTGGTATCATCTGAAAGAGAAATCAGTTTACTTTCATATAAAATCCACTTGTCATAATTGATTCCCAATGACTTTTAAGAGATATCAATTTAATGACACTCCAGGTATTTATCAGTTGAAATCTCCTAAGGATTTCTAGGATTAAATCGTTATCCCTTGTCAAGGCCACCTTTAGTCAGACATGTGAAGAAGTTGAACTTTTTTCTTTGTATAACTAATGCACAGAAATAAAATAAGTTCAACTTCAATCTCAAGAATGGTAAACTTATTCTTATTCTTCACCATGTGTTGTGACCCCTCATAGGCGATCATGGCTCTCTACAATTTACTATCCTTTGTAGCTCTTAATAAATTGTCTTTTTGTTATTTCTCTCAAACTGTTCTGCCATCCACTTAGTCAAACTTACTAAGTATGTTATGTGTTACTTTCAATCTGTCCTGTAAGTATTAGATTTTCCAAGCCCTCTTTCCTCATTACATGTCCTAGAAATCTCAGATGTCTCTTCCTGATGTTAAGTATAAGTTTCCTTTTTGTTTCCATTTTTTCTAGAACTTTGTCGTTGCTCACATGTACGGTCCATGGTATCCTCAGCATTCATATGTAGAACCTCATTTCTGTTGTTTCCAGTCACTTCTTCATCTTTGAGGAGATTGTCCAGCATTCACTGCCATATAGGAAGACATATCATAATAACAGGTCAGTACTCTTGTTTTTAACAAAGATTTCCTGTTTCTTAATACTCTGCTGAGCTTTTGGAATGCATCTCTAGCTACCCAAAGGGGCTTTCAGATTTTAGTATTGCACTTGCCATCCTCTGTTAAAACACTTCACAGGTATTTAAATTTTTTTTTACTTGTTTGATTTTGGTATCTCTGATGTGCAATTTGCACTTTGAGCTTATCATTTTGCTGACTACCATGCATTCTGTCTTCTTGTAGTTGATGTTTAATCCTTCCTAAGAGGGATAATAACTTTGATGGAAAGTTCTTGAGAGTGCAACTATTGGTTCTTCTCAAAATGTTAACTTATGCCCCAGATTTTTCTTCAAATATCTCCTTTCTTAAAAGAAATACATCTTTCCAAAACCAATATACATGATCATAAATTTTTTTTTTAAATTAAAAGAAAATGGATAACTCAAGACATCCTATTATTCAAAATAAATACACAAATAATTTATCAAATTAAAATAAAATAATAAATAATCATATATAAGATAGAGTCCACATGTGCTTCATATAGTTTATAAAATAGAATAGATAAGTTGGTTAATAAAAGGCAAATGAAAGGGTACCAATGTGATCAGTATGAAAAATATTTATTAACCACATCTCTCTATTGCTTGCATTCGCTGATGAAGGACACAAGCATGTCTGAAAATTCTGAGCTTGGAACCTGAATTGCCGTGCTTCATTTCCGTCATGTGGTTAATAATTAATAAATGTTTTTCATACTGATCGCATTGGTACCCTTTCTTTTGCCTTTGTTTTATTAACCAACTTATCTACACTATTTTATATAACAAATAAGAAATTAACAATTCAACAATAATATTTACTCCCTTTCATTTATTAAACATTAAATTTCATCACTTTGCATAATCCATAGTTTACCTTTACTTAGTGTTAAGAATATTTTAAAGCTTTCTTAAATTTAAAAATTTTGAAAACTTAATATTTTTACTTGTTTTTATAAATACATGTTGCAAAATAAAATCCTTGCATTCATCTTGGTAAAGTTCCTCAAGAAATGAAAAACATTAGTAAAGAAAAATTTTCCTTTTGTTTTTATTCATACTATCTTTTTACAGATATTTTATTTATATCTGAATTTTTACAAATGTTTCTAAAGAATTAAAGGCTTTATTTTTAATCTTGACATTTTTATTACTCCAAGCATTAATAGAAGGACACTTACTTGAAATAGATGCCCCATTTTTATCTACTTCCTAAATCACCCATAAGCCCATTGGTTTCCTTTAAAAAGCAGTTCATGATACAAAATGATAAAATAACAACATTATCAATTATTAATTACATGTTTTAATTTGTATTTGCAATACAAATTATTGTAATAATAATTATTACTCGCATTATACAATATTACTTTGATCAAATGCAATAATAAATTAATAAATGGAAAGGTCTTCAGAATTTGTGAAAAAATACTGTCCCTGTTACACAGAACAGAAAAAAAAAAATGACAAAACTTTTGACATATTAAAATTATTAATGTGATATCGTTGAAGTAAATTTAATAATTTTAACAATTTGTATATTTTGTTAATGAAATCTAGCATGAAATTTAATGACAGATGTTAAATTATCAAACAACAGATTTTCAGAATGAACAATAAATTAATAATACCAGAATGACATGGAGGCCTATCATTGTTCCAGGACTATAACCTAGCTTTAATTTGAAATGTTCCTTTAATGCAAACATTGCACTGCAGGAAAAAAAAAAGTTTGCTTTTTGTTTAAAGAATGAAATTGCAAACATTAAAGGCCTTTCTTTTCAGTAATAGTAACTCTACAATGATGATTTATACAAATTTTAGTATTTGCCATATTATAATTGTCAAAGATGAAGGTCATTCTCACAAAAACAAAAAAAAATATATATATATATATATATATATATATATAACTAAATAAACAAACAGCAGTTGTCTGCTTAGGGATGCCTCCTTTTTGTGCACTTAGTTTCATTTATAGGTAATTTTTTCAAAATAATTATATTTTTTATTATACAGACTTGTTTCTTTCTCACCTTAAAAAAAAAAAAAGAAAAAAAAAGTCACAAATAAGATGGAATAAAACTAGTAATAAAATAATAGTAATAATGAAGAGTGTGTATTGAACCAGATTGCTGGGATGAAAAGCAACAATAATAAGATGGAGCAAGACTAGTAATAAAATAATACAAGTAAGCATAAACTATACAATCATCCTGAAACTATCAAATACATTCTTTAGTTTGTTTTTCTTTTCTCTCAATTTTTTTGTCTGTCTGTAATATTCCATTTGAAGAAATTGTGAACGTAAAGAGAGCAAAAACAAACAAGAAATACTGCTACTAGAGGGGCCACCGGATGCAACATATAGCTGAAGGTCAACCAAGAATATCAGCAGAAACTGTGTTAAAAAAAAACAAAAACAAAAAAAAAAAACAAGATAAACCTCTGAGCAGGTTTTTCAGTCACTTTTATTCTTTGTAAGGCTTGGTCTTCCATCAATGTCTTAATCTGTTTTGCAAAGAGATGAGAATGCAAATGACAGGGACACCTGCTTTTTCAAGAAGGGCATATATAAATATATATATATATATATAAAAAAAATACTTACCATCGGGTTATTTCACTTTGCCACGGCAGAATGAGTGCACTTGGTAGTACAATAAGGACGTGTTCAATTTCATTCACTTCAAACATCTTATACAGGTAGCCAATCACCTGGAGGGTTTTGCCAAGACTACAAATCAAAAAGGAAGAATTTGTACACAAGTATGTTCACATTATATATTTCTGTAGGCTAATGATGACAGAGGAAAGCATTTATCATTTTTGAAAGATGCAAATAACTATTTGCTTCTGAAGTTCAATAGGTAAGACAAAGTAAAACTGATAGCTGAAAATGACCCATTCAGTTGTTAACTAAGGCATGTAACAGTCACTGAATGGACCAGTATACACATTCCCAGGCCTTGAGATTTTTACTACATGGTAGTAACATGGTAGCAGTAATAATAAGGTTAAAATTATGAGAATAATTTTTAACTAGATGCTTTCACTGATTCAATATGAGCATACGATGAAAAAATGCCCTGAACTGTATAAAAACAAAGTTTCATCATCAAAATCTTTATTAAGAGGAAAGACCAAAGGATTTTCTGATTATTAAATTATATTTTTTGATCCTTTTTAGGACATTTGAAATTTTGATTAAAAACCTTGTGTCAAACATGAATATTTTAGCACCATTTTTGCAGTGAAAAACATTGATTTCGATATTTTTGTAAAAATCAAATAATTGTTAGATTTTAATGAAACTTTCAGGACTTATTTATACAAATGAAATTATTTTAAGACTGCTGCTTCTTTTACAAAATCTGAGTAAGAACATTATATTTTTTGTTTTTATTTATTACTACATCTGTTACTTCCCTCTTATTTAATTTTATGAAATTTCAAGAAATTAATTTTTGTACTAATGTTTATATTAGTTATATGCAAATCTCCTTGGAGAATTTAAATCATTAATTTTGTTTATTTTTTTTGTAAAACAGGACCCCTAATTACCAAAAACTTACTCTGAATCATAAAATAAAAAATGAATTAAAACTAAGGCATTATTTAATTAGAAAAGTTTTTAATTGCTTTTATGAATAATACAGGGTGCCCATAAATTTCATGTGCACTTTAAAAAATTGATAACTTTATTTGGATTTGCGATAGAAATAATTTGTAAAAAGGATCAGAAAGAAGTAAATCTATATTTTTTAAGGTTTTGTTGAAATTTTATTTAAGTTTCCACATGTCCTCTGTCATTATTCAATACAAAGGGTAATACGATTTTGCAGTTCACGGAAAACATTTGCCAACTGATTTACAGTAATGCCTGAAATCACATTAGTTATTTTAGCTATACTTAAAACTAGGTACATTAAACTTTATAACATTTTTTACAGATTATTTCTATCACAAATACAAGATATGAATTTTTTAAAGTGCACACGAACTTTATGGACACCCTGTATATCTTATGGATGGACACTATTGTTCTAAGAAAAAAAAAAAATTTCAATGAGTAATCAATTTTTGAAAGAACTGTTTACATTTTGTAAAAATTTTAATTATAATCTTATATATAAAGTACAGTGTGTGTGTGTGTGTGTGTGTGTGTGTGTGTGTGTGTGTGTGTCCAAGCAACTCATCTGCTCCCACTGGTCCAATTTCAATGATTTATAGCTCATTCAAAAGCCCTAGAAAAAGCGCAGGGAATGATTTTTGTTGAGTTCAGATTCAGAGTTGTCAGATTATGTGAGGTTAAAAATATATATTAATATATTATACTAGCCATTAAAAAAGGTGTTCATGTTATATTCAAGTAAATTTTACAGATATTAGATAAACTTCTGTCATTCAACCTGTCAACAGCTAAAACAGCTGTGTTAAAAAAATGCATTTCTGCGATATTTTAAACTTAATAGTAAGTAATATTTGTTTCAAATTAGATTAATTAAACTTTAAATCAGCTAATATTTCTCAAATAAAGTTTCAGAAAAGTATATCTTATTTTTGAAAGATTTTTTAATAAAGAGAATTACATTGTGATGACAGATGGCTAAAATGGCACTAAAATCAGTGAATGTTATTAATTTCAAAATGAAAACTCCTTCTAGACAATTCAAATTAGTTTGGAAATACAGCAAAGAATAATATTAAAAAAATATTAAATTTAATCTATTAGCTTGAAGTTAAAACTAAAATAAAAGCTTCAAGAAAGATTTTTGATTTTAAAAAATTCATTTTAAACCTTAGGTAACTCATTTCTGTCGAAGTACCTATTTTTAATGTTCCACAAATTAGATTTATCACATATATACATACATGCGTTTAACTGCAAATTCTACAAGTCTGCTACAACATGTTCATTCTTTAATTACTCCTGGTGTAAAAGGCAACAGACGTGTTCCTGAGCTTTGTCAGTTGGTTGGGCGCAAAGGCAATAGAGTAAATTATCTGTTCCCTCCTACTGAGCTTGAAATTCTCTTCTAAGACACCATGTATCCCTTTACCATAGAATTTGTTTCAAATTGTTATTGTCCCTGTTTGAAAAAGTGTTTTTCTTGTTTGTGTATTTTCTTGAAATGTTTTGTTTATCCCCTATTTGTTAAATTTAGAGATGTGTGGTTTAACTGAAAAAAAACAAAAAAAAACAAAAAAAAACCCAACTTTTTTTCAGTTTCATCTTCACACTGTGAAACCATGTGAAAATTGTTTATGAAACCGAACAATTTCGGTTTCGTTTTTATATCACTACTGAGTGACCATATTCAAAGAAACACTATTGAAAAAAACTTTCCTATGTTAATAAAATTAAATTTTTATCAACATTTATACTATTGTAAGAGAAAAAATTGAACAAAAATATGTGAAAAACATTTAATTGACTAGATTTAGGAAATAAATGTGAAATGAAATCTATTCATTTACAAAAGAAATGAAGAAGAAAAAAAAGGAAATACGGCCTGATGTCTGAAAGTGAAATCTATTTGTTTCAGTTTCAAAAAAAAAAAAAAAAAAAAAAATTTTTTGCAGTAAAATTAAGTTAACAAAATAGCAAGTAAACAAAATAGCAAGTAAAAAAAATAGCAAGTAAAAAAAAAAAAAAAAAAAAAAGTAGCTGCCAGGTTCATCTTAATGTTAAATTTTATGAAGTCAGATTTTTTGTAAGAGTTTTCTAATAAGACAGTTATGCCAATAATGAAATAAAATTGTTGCAAACAAGAAAAACGAATAAAGATATTTTTTTTTTTATAAATAATTTTTTTTTTCTTTAGGGTATGCACCTAAATAAGATATTAAGAATAATTAAAATAGTTCTTAATTTCACTTTTAAGATGTGTATATTTCCAGATATGAGAGTGTTTTCTACAAATAAAGTATTTTTCTATCCAGCAAATACACGTAAAATTAGAGATTAAAATTAAAAAAAAAGTAAGTTTTAATCTCAGTTTTAAAATGTGTATATTTTCAAAACCGCAAGTTATTTTTTTTTAAAGCCAAAGTAAAAATTATTCTTTTTAAGCCACTAGTGTTCGGTGGATGTTTGTTACTGTTCTGTCTATAAAATTCTTCTAAACAAGGAAAATTAATTCAATTTATTTTTTTACAAATATCTTTATCCTTTTATCTAGCAAACACACTTAAGATTATATATTGAAATGATTAAAATAGTTTTTAATTTCAGTTTTAAAATGTGTATCTAAAAAAAGAACAGGTGATACTTGCAGATTTGGAAATCTGCACATTCTAAAAATGAAATTAAATGAAATTAAATTATATTTGATATTTAATTTTAGGTGTATTCACTAGATAAAGTTGCAAATTTATCAATCTCAAACAAAATCAGATATCAACTGGAAATGATATCATTACACAAGAAATGACTTCCTTAGAAAGCAAAAATACTAAATTGAAAACCACGTTATCAAGGAAAACAAAACCGGGAACCAATACCAAATCATAAATTGCCAAATCGATCAACTCTAGTTAAATGTTTCTCAGTAAAAGGATAACATTATTATGAGGCATGGGCCTTTTTCATTGAGACCTGCAGACAGCTACAGAAGGCAAGAAGTGACTTATAAATTTCAACATCTCCAAAACAAGACTACTATCTTTAAATCTCTATAGAGAATCTTTTTCTGCTTTCCATCAGCATGGCTGATGCTAATCTCTAGGAGGGCAACTCATTAGATCTTCTTGGTCACACATTTTCCACTGACAAGTGGAGTGATTATACTGAATCAGTTGCTTCCTTTTGAATCCTCTCTCCCTCTTCATTATGTTGAAATCATCCCATGAGTAGGCCCAGCAGAAATATAAGTACCATATAGAAGAGATTAATTTTTAAAAAAAATCATACAGGGTTTGATGGGTACATTGTTGCCATTTTATATTTTAAATTTTGCACATTGTTTATTTTTGATTTTGTCGACTGCACAGTATAGTAGGGTCAGTTGGGCACTGTGAGAAAAAAAAAAAAAAAATCCCCATGATGCAATTCACTTTGCCAAAAATTTGGAAACAGCATGCTGTACTGATTGGCATTCATGCTGGAAGCTCCAATATGAACATTTCAGCGTGTTTGGGTGTCAATCTGAGGACAGTGCAGAGGATTTTCCTCAGCACAATCCTCTGCACTCAGATGACAGCTGAAAATGACAACTTTGGCAACCAGGTAACATCTGAAAGAAGTAGATCAGCTCTGGTGAGAGAAATATCTATTTCTCTTTGGAGAACAACAGGACTTTACCACAGCTGAGCTGCGTGATAAGGCACAGAATTCAAAATCAATTTCTTCAAGAAAAGCCTGTAATTGGTGGTGATCTGGTGAGAGAAATATCTATTTCTCTTTGGAGTTTATAAACAACAGGACTTTACCACAGCTGAGCTGCGTGATAACCCTGAATGAAAATCAATTTCTTCAAATAACTGGTTTCAGTACACAGAAAGTATCTAAATCTTTCACACAGAATGCTTGCTGATCTGCCTTACCAGATCTTTCTTCAGTCTAGCCATGTTTTTCCTCCAAATGTAACACAATTGAAGCTGATTCCACTGAAGTTTGTAGCCATGCAAAGTTTCCTGCACTTTCATGAAAATGTCTTCTCCAGTTGTTCCGTGAATGCTGCAAATGGTGTGAATGTGTGGGCTCAAGCACAAAGACAGTTTTTTCTTTTGTTT